GAAAATGAAGTGCAGAATGTGTATGCAGGAAAGGAGTGGTGGGGGTGGCAAAGATACAAAAGCAGTAAGGGAGGATAGCGTCTCTAAGACTAGAAACTAACTGGACACAGGAGGCCGAGTGAGGGAAACCATAGCATGTGGCAGAGAAGAGCGGGGAGGGTTGGGCAGGGGATACCTAAATAAAGTAGTGCTCTAGTTTGACCTTTTGAATTGTGTCTGTTGTTTTCTAATTTTGTGTTTGTAGCCAGCTAAAATGAGAAAAGCTCAGTTGTTTACTGCTGGACTGCTGGAACAACTTGTAGAAAGCCAGGAAGGTGTTCCCTGGGCAGCCATTGTGGAGTGCTAAGAAAGATAATTAAGTGGCTTGTACTTAAGTTTATTGAGAGATTTGGATATAGATAAAAGATAAACTCTTGGGAAGTGTTTCAGATTCTGTTGAAAAAGCTATAGGAAGTTGAGATTACCAGTGGTTGGAATTTTGGAGGTGAAGTAGGGTGAAATGCCAAGTATCTGAGAGGCTCCTTGCTGGTGAAGGGCTTAGTGAGAGCAGGATCTCTGCTTGTGGCATGAGGGGGGTGCCTGTATCATGTTGTCTGGAATGGCTCCAGGGCATCCAGTGTGAGGTATCTAGTTATTATAAGAGGACAAATTACAGTTGAAACACATTAGTTAGGTATTTTAAAGTGCTTTAGCAAGCTACATTTTAAAAGTGCTTATTATGGAAAATACACGTAAAGATAACCAGTGATGTTACTTTCGTGCCCTTTCTTTTTTCTAGACCTATTTTTATACATAGTTAAGATCATGCAATATGAATAGTTTTTTTAATCTATGCTTGTTTATTTAATATTATAGTGTAAGTATTTTCCCATGTTCTTAAAAATCTGTTGTTACCAGCATTTTTAATAATTGGAGATTTTTCTTTTGTCATTTGGAAGTGCTATAATTTATCTGTTTCTCCATTATTTACCTTGTTTCTGATTTTTGTTCTTAAAAATAATGCAAGGCTGAACAAGGACCGTCTTTGTGCCTAAAGCTTTATCTTCACTTTGAGCTGCTTCCTTGAGCCCAGTTCATTGGTTTTCAAACCTGAGTGCATGAGCATCACCTGGAAGGCATGTTAAACACAGATCACTGGGCCTCAACCCAAGGATTTCTGACTTGAGTAGGACTGAGAGGAGACCTGAAAACTGGCCTTTCTAACAAGTTCCCAGGTGATGCTGCTGGTGTGGGGACCACACTTTGAGAACAACTGGCTTGTGTTATTGACAATGACACTACAGTATTGAGGTTAAGTTTCTCAGGCAGTAGGAGTGATTATGATCTTGAATGAAACTGAATTCATGTACCAACCTGTATCAGGGAAGTTGAAGAGCTGTAAAGGATTGTATCAGCATCTCAGCACTGAGGATTTGTGCAATTTGTAGACACAGCAATGCTGTTTTTTGCAAGGTGCTGTGCTGGGTTTTGTGAGGTAAGGGTACTGTGAATAATACAGCCCAGCTCCCTTTTGGCTGTTTTACAGTCTATTTGTGAGAGAAGACAAATATAATACAAAAGTGCCAGAAAAAAGGTATTAACAAACGGCTACAGAATTCAGAGGGAGGCGAGGCCATGTTTGGTTAACACATCAAAAAGTAGGAGGCCAAGAAGTAGAAGGTCCAGGAAGAGCTAGGTTTTGTTTTTGTTTTTTTTTAAGATTTTTATTTATTTGACAGAAGGTGCGAGAGAGCGCAAGCACAAGCAGGGGGAGCGGCAGGCAGAGGGAGAGGGAGAAGCAGGCTACCCACTGAGCAAGGAGCCTGATGTGGGGCTTGATTCCAGGACCCTGGGATCATGACCTGAGCCGAAGGCAGATGCTTAACTGGCTGAGCCACCCAGGCGCCCCTAGGAGATACAGATATACACACACACACGTATATAGGCAATATATATGTATATTTAACTTTTAAAAAAATTATTTAAAGTAGGCTCCACACCCAGTATGGGGCTTGAACTCATGACCCCGAGCTCAAGAGTCTCACACTCTACCGACTGAGCCATGCAGGCACCCCAGAGCCAGGATATTTTTAAGGAGTTTCACAAGTATGACATCAGTGAAGCTTGGGGTTTTCAGCCAGAGAAGTTCAAGTTCAAATCTTGGTTCTGTGCTAAATTAGCTTTGTGATGTACTTCTCCCTGAGCTTGTTTCTTCGTCTGTAAAAAGGGGATACTACATCAGGTATGTTTGTACAGATTACATAATAAAACACCCAGCAAGGTGTCTTGTAGGAAACACACACTCGAAAATTGTTGAATAGGGACACCTGGCTGGCTCAGTCGGTAAAGCATGTGAATCTTGATCTTGGGCCCATGAGTTGGAGACCCACGTTGGGCGTGGAGCCTACATTAAAAAAAAAAAAAAGTTGAATAAATGGTAAGCTGCTTGAAGGTTTTTCATTGGTGCGGCTAAGCCTTGTAATTAACAAGGCCAAATCACCAAGGACCATCTATTGCCATAAAAGTGACTGATGCCTTTTCAAACAGCCTTTCTACGGATTAAATTTTAAAGGACGTTTTGTTGATGGAAAACGAGTGGTACCCAACAGATGTCAACTTTGCTGCCACTCTATTTAATATTATCTTGAGTTAGAGACTTGGATGGGTTTTTTTTTTTTTAAGATTTTTTGCATTTATTTTAGAGCAAGCATGTGCACATTGGGGGAGGGGCAGAGGGAGAAAGAGAGAAACAGACTCCCCACTGAGCGCAGAGCCCCACACAGGCTCTCATGAGCCTGAGATCATGACCTGAGCCGAAATCAAGAGTCGGTAGCTTATCCGCCTGAGCCACCCAGGTGCCCTGATTTGGATGGACTTTGATGAAATTTACTTTCATCATATAACATCATGCTTACCTCTTGTTTTCTTCAGGTTTGCCTAAATATTGTGTAACAGTGAAGCATCTTTCTTTTGACCACTCTTTATAAACGGGCCCTGCCTACTCCCTGTCTTTGCTGTTCTGCTTTAATGTCCATAGCACTGACCTATATTGTGCATTGTCTCTTCCACACTAAAACGAGTGCTGCAGTAGGCAAGAACTTTGCTCTATTTAATGCTATATCAGTACTGAGACCAGAGCCTGGCATATAATAGTGAATTAATGAATTGGTGAGTGAAGAAGAGGGAGAAGAGGCAGGAGAAGAGTACTGGGTCAGTTCTTTTAAAAGTGGTCTTGTGGGCATATTGTAAACTCAGGAACAATATACTTGTATTTTAAGCTCCTGGTGCTATATTTTAAGGACATTCTAAGTCCAGTGGAATGATTTTGAATACCATTGCTTCTGTAGTGATATTTGTTGAGAGAAAAGGAAAGCATCAGCTCAAATATTTTTAGACAGTTTCTACAGAGATTTCAGTCACCAAAATTCTCTTCCAAAAATCCTCCTGATTTTGGAAGAGGCAGCAGAGTTGCTGATGAAAAGTGACTTAATGGGTATCATATCCTTTATAGTGTTTACTTTTGCTCTGTACCAAATAAAAACATTTTGTTTTATCTTTAGGGCGGCACATGTTTGCTTTTCTTGGGTTCCAAGTCACTCGGGTAAAATAATTAATGTTGGTTTTTTTTCAGGGATTAGTTTGGTCATATCACTTCTAATGTCCAGTGGATTGATCATTCTGTGTCTGTTGAGGGCAGCAGTGTTTGGGATATTACCACTCTTTTGCTCTTTAATTTGGAATATGTAATTTCTCTGTAAAGATTTACTTTCTGTTCGCTCAGGCCATTAATACTTTTGTTCATTTGTTCCTCTTTCATACTACACATCAATTGATAAGGAATTGATGTAGCCCAGCCTAGCAGTGGTCAGGTCAAGTTGGTCACCTTCATCTTAGAAATTCTAAGCAGGCAAGCCAGAAATGCCTTGAATTTAGAATTTAGCTGATAATGTAATATGACACTCTGAGATAGCAAAATTATTAGTATCTAGTATGAATATGAACTCATGTTCAGATTCCCCAATTGTCACAAATATCTTTCCAGGTTGATTGTTTGATGTAGGATCCAAAAAGGTTCACACATTGGCTTGCTTGCTGTGTTCTTGTCTAGAGTAGTCCCTGCTTATCTGTGGGGGGATACGTTCCAAGACCCCCAGTGGATGCCTGAAACTGTGGATAGTATTGAACCCTATGACGGAATGTTTTTCCTGTACATACATACCTACGGTAAAGTTTATTTCTAAATTAGGCATAACAAGAGATTAACAACAGTAATAATAAAACAGAACAATTATAACAATAGACTGTAATAAAAGTCACATGTGGTCTCTCCCAAAATCTTTTTTTTTTAAGTGAGCTCTCTGCCCAACGTGGGGCTTGAACTCACAACTCCAAGATCAAGAGTTGCATGCTCTACCGACTGAACCAGCCAGGCGCCCCCCTCCTCAGATCTTATTTTACTGTACTTACCCTTCTTGTGATGCTGTGAGATGATAAACTGCATGCATGTTGAGGTGAAGTGAAGTGAATGATGTAGGCATTTTGACCTGGTGTTAGGCTCATGTATACTGACCTCCTGACAGACCACAGCTGACCTCAGGTAACTGAAACCTCGGAACTTGAAACCTCAGATAAGAGAGGACCACTGTATTATGTCTCTGCCTGTCCCTTCTTTCCCATACCATTTATTTCCTGAAGAAATTGGGTCATTTATTCTGTAGGAATTCTGACATTCTGGATGTGGCTGATTGCTTCCTAAGGTTGTTAGTTAATTTGGCAGTCTAATCCCTTTATGTCTTAAAAACTGGAAGTTAGGTCTTGATTAAATTCAGGTTTAATTTGTGGTTTGTTTTTTTTTTTTTGCTTTTTATTTATCTGTTTTGGCAAGAACGCTTCATAGGTTGTGCTTAGCACTTCAAAATGCGTTATGTCAGAAAGAGTTTGTTGTCAGACCTTGTCATTTTAGTGATATTAAAATTGATTAGTAAGTTTAGGTGTTAATAACCTTTTTACCTTCGTTTCAGAAAAGCTTGATTCTTTACTCTCAGACTACGATATCCTCTCTTTATCCAGTATCCAACAGCACTCAGTAAGAAAAAGGGATCTACAGGCCTCAACACATTTAGAAACACTACTGACTTTTTCAGCTTTGAAAAGGTAATTTGAACTATTTATAAAAAAATATTGGGGCAATGGGGGACTTAGTTTGGCAAAAGTAGAAAAATAAGGGTGTTTACTGGAGTCTTAGGAAGTTACCTTTTAAAAATTTGTAATTGATATAATTACAGTCATAATTCTTATATTACTTATTGCTTATTCTAAAATTCATAGTGATGATTATTAAAAACAAACAAATGGGTATTCCAAAGGTATTAATGATGGTAATAATGTTTGTGGGATTCTAACAAAGGATTTTAATTAATTGCATGATTTATGATACCTTAAAATATTGTATGCTACTTTAGAACCATCAACTGTGTACTAAATATTATCTTCATTTTATATGTGAAGACACTGAGGTTTAGAGATCAAGGATTTGTTCAGGACCCCACAGCCTTGTGGTAAGCTGGATAGAGAAATCAGTGCTCTGTGTATATTGAGTTCCTCTTACATTGTGGCATAAATTGATGTGGTCTTTTCTTTCTTTTCTTTTGCTTTCTCTTATGTTTTGCAGATATAAATCTGTTAGATAATTGCAGGCCTCTTTCTGAAGTCTTTTTAGGGAGCTTTACTAATATCAAAACACACAATGAGAGGTGTAAATGGACTGAATCACTCTGAATTTGTAGGTTAGGCCTTCCCCAACAAATGGGGAAGGCCTGTTTTTATTTTTTATAATCTTTTTTATTTTTTTAAGATTTTATTTATTGAGAGAAAGAGAGAATGAGCAGGGGGAGGGGCAGAGGGAGAAGCAGACTCTCTGCTGAGCAGGGAGCCCAATGTGGGGCTCGATCCCAGGACCCTGGAATCATGACCTGAGCTGAAAGCAGATGCCTGATGTGGGGCTTGATTCCAGGACCCTGGGATCATGACCTGAACTGAAAGCAGATGCTTAACTGAGCCGCCCAGGCGCCCCCCAAGAAATACTTTTTAAAAAGAAAGTAATACATAAACTTGGTTTAAAAAGCAAACTATGGAGGGTATAAGAAATTTTCGCTTCTCCTCAAACTTCGCTGACCTAGAGAGGTTTCCCAAATTAACCTCTAAAAGATTTTAATGCATATTTTTTGCATGTAGATCTGTGTACATGTAGGTAATATAGATAAGTATATATACCTCCTTTTTAAAAGCTGTATAAATATTCCTATTGCATAGAATTGTAACGATTTGTTGGCTAATAACTTATAAATACATATCGTTTAACCGAAGTGATTTTTGTTTTCTATAGCAAACAGTGCTCCAATAAATATCTTTGTGAATATACTCTGTCTAGGTATTTTTACAGGATACATTCCTGAAAGGAGAATGAGTCAAGGGTATACATACTATAAATGTTTACAGATGTTACCATATTTCTTCCTAAAGACATTAGCCCAATTTATTCTTCTAGCAGCAGTGTATGAGCTTACCTGTTTCCTGTTGTCCTTGGCAATAGGTTTTATCAGCCCTTAATTTTTGTCCCTGTGAAAGGGGATGGTGTCTCATAATAGTCTTGATTTTCATTTTGTGTGAAATTGAGCATCTTTTCACGTGTTTATAAGTGATTTATTTTTCTGTGTCTCCCTTTTCGTATCCTTTTACCATTTTTCTGATTGGTTTATTTGGATCCTGAACTGTGGTCATGCTTAGTATATTTATCATATGTGTAACTGATATTTTATGCAGATATATTTTACAGTATCTTTTTGGTATTTTTTTTTAGTTATTGCCATCATTCTTAGATTATTTTTGAATAATTTCTGTCAGAGTTCATGTCAAAATATTGTCATATTGGTTATCCAGCTTCCAGACCTATAGCCAATTTGAACAGTGATGATAATAATAATCATAGTCTATCTGCTACTTATTTTGTGTAATTTACTTGAGGAGGCACTTTGCACATGCTGTCTCTAATTCTCACTGTGCTCCACAAAGTTTTTGTTACTCTGCTTTTGGGGAAAAAAATTGAGACTCAGAGAGGTTGAGTAACTTGCTCAAGGTCACTCAGCTAGTGAATGGAAGATAAAGGATTTGAATACAAGCCTGTGCTGTTTCTGCTGTGCAGATAGGGATTTTGGTGAAGGAGCGGATATAGTATTTTTTTTTTTAAAGATTTTATTTATTTGTTTGTTAGAGAGAGCACAAGCAGGGGGAGAGGCAGGCAGATCAAGAAGCAGGCTCCCCACCGAGCAGGGAGCCCGATAAAGGACTTGATCCCAGGACCCTGGGATCACGACCTGAGCCGAAGGCAGCCGCTTAACCGACTGAGCCAGCCAGGCATTCCAGGAGCGGGTATAGTATTAAGAGATAAATTAGGAGCAAAGGATAAGGGGAAAACTGCAAAATAAGAACTCAAAATTTAGCTTTCTCGGTTTTTTTTTTTTAAGTTAGGTTTGAGGTGGCTCGTAGAGTCTTTTCTATGGGGGGAAATACTCTCATAACCTCACACATTCCTCTCTTTCAGGTCTCATAGATGACATTGGTTCTTTAAGAAAATGTTCAACAATATCTACATATTATCTCTCTGTGTAAAGAAGCAGGGAGATTTGTAATTTATTTTACAGGGTTTCCATCTTAAGGGTTGTTTTTTTTTCAAGATTTTATTTATTTGAGAGAGTGAGAGGGAGCAGAAGCTGGGAGTGGAGCGGAGGCAGAGGGTGAGGGAGCAGACTCCCCACTGAGCAGGGAGCCAGAGGTGACTTGGGGCTTAATCCCAGAAGTCTGGGATCATGTCCTGAGCCAAAGCTAGGTGCTTAACCAACTGAGCCACCCAGGCGTCCCCATCTTAAGTGTTTAAATGGAAATGTATCTAACTGTGTAGGAGAACTTTGGATCAGGTACTTTAAAATAGTTTATTTAACCCTGAAAACTATTCAGTTATTAGTAGGTGGCATTATGGTATTATTTTCATTTGTAGATCAAGATACTTAGATTCAGAGATTAAGGCCATGAGTAAGTGGTGGAAACAGGATTTGAGCTAGGTTTGTCAGACTCCAAGGCCTTTTCTGTTACGCTGTGTTAAAAGAAAACGAAGTGGGATATTTGAAATGATCAGTTTATATAGGGCCGAACTTACCAATGTGAAGCTGCTCATTAGTTAATGGTAATTGTAAATGATTAGATTTTCTGGTTTTAGACAGTAGTGGAAGGCAAGGTAATTTAAACCAAGGTCATAAAATTAAATTTGTATATGATTATTATAATAGCAGTTGAAAAGCATGGAAACACTGAGAAATTGTATGAGAAGTTAAAAAGTAATTTTATAAAGAAAAAACCTGAAATTTGCTAAGAAGTTAACATTTCCTCTGTTTTATAAATCAAGAAATACTATTATTCTAAAGTAATGAAAAAGTTAAAAATATTGTTTTAATACTTTTTGATAATGTTACATTTTTTTTTTAATGTTGCACCTTTAAAAAAGGATTTAGATATTTCTCTTAAAAGTGAAATATCTCAAATTATTTGAAGAGGGATAGAACTAGTAAAGAAATGGAAGTGATACAGGGGCGCCTGGGTGGCTCAGTTGGTTAAGCGACTGCCTTCGGCTCAGGTCATGATCCTGGAGTCCCTGGATCGAGTCCCTGGATCGAGTCCCGCATCGGGCTCCCTGCTCGGCAGGGAGTCTCCTTTGCCCTCTGACCCTATCCCCTCTCATGTGTTCTCTCTCATTCTCTCTCTCTCAAATAAATAAATAAAATCTTTAAAAAAAAAAGAAATGGAAGTGATACATATCCAGCTAAATGGACCATTAAAAATAGACATGAGGTGCAAACTTCCAGTCATAAATAAGTCATGGGGTTGTAATGTACAGTATGGTGACTATAGTTAATATTGTATTGCATATGTGAAATTTAGTAAGAGAGTAGATTTATTTTATTTATTTATTTATTTATTTGACAGAGAGAGACACAGCAAGAGAGGGAACACAAGCAGAGGGAGTGGGAGATGGAGAAGCAGGCTTCCCACAGAGTAGGGAGCCCGATGCAGGGCTCGATCCCAGAACCCTGGGATCATGACCTGAGCCGAAGGCAGATGCTTAACGACTGAGCCACCCAGGCGCCCCAAGAGAGTAGATCTTAAAAGTTCTCATCATAAGAAAATAAATTGGTAACTATATATGGTGACATTTAATTAGACAGTGTGTAATATATACAAAAAGGAAATATTGTCAATTCAGGCGGATTAACACTAGTTTGTAGTTACTGTAAATCCTTAAATCAAAACTCAGATAAATGAAAATGCTAAAGGAAGTCTATAAGTACATGACTTCACATAATTTTGGTAAGATAAAGTAAAATATAAATTCTGACCAAAGGTGAAGATTGGAAAATCAGAAAACAGGAGTTTTACCATCTGTTGGTCCTTATCTTTGTAGAAGAGCAGATTCTTAGCGTAGAAAACAAAGTGCAAATTCAGTGATTTTTCTAGAAAGAATGTTAAGTAAAAGTAATATTAAGACTCCTAAAGGGCTCTGAAGCTGAATAGTGCATTTAGAATAGGGATGCTTTGTTTTTTTTTTTTTTAAGCAAAGTCGTCAGCATAACAAAAAAATTGTAGCTGTGAATGTGTGGGAAGATAGGTTTTAGGTGAACAGGAGAAGATGTTCTAAGGATTTTTGAAATAATGTTCTATTGTCTTTCTCTTTGACCATTAAAAAACCACAAGAGAACTAAAATTACCTTGTTATGCTCAAAAAGTTAAAAATATTTGTTGCTATGGAGACAGTCCTAGTCTAGATTCTTTCTGGCAGTTTAGACTTAGGACAAACCCATGGGGAAGTAACATTTCATAGTTTCAGTCCCACGGCTGACAAAATTTGTTCCTGTGGTTGAGATGAAAAACATACCTTTATCTTTGGTGTTCATGGGCACATTGAAAGGGTAAATAATAATTGAAAAATTCTTGCTCACCATACACAGATTTTATGTCAGGACTGAAACTGGTAGAAAACAAAAGAATATCAAGCCAACTAAAGAGCTGGAGTATGTATTTTAATGTCTGTGTTGGATACCTTATATTTATTTTCCTCATAGGAATTGTGGATTAATTTTTTTCAGGATAAGTTCTCTTTAGAAGGAGAAAAAAAGCATGAGTGCTTTTAAATATAGAAAGTAGCAATTACTAATTTTGCACAGCAATAAGACCAGCTTGATTGGTAGAGGCAGCCCATACAGGCTTTTGAAATAAAGGAAGTTCAGTTTCCAATTTCATCATTTACTAGCTGTGTAATCTTGAGTATATTGATTGACCTCCAGCCAGCAGTATTTACTGTGTGAAGTGGAGACAATGTAAGCAGAGTTTAGTGCAGAATAGGTATTCAATAAGTCATATCTAATAATACCAGTCTTTGATAAATTTTTCAGACAAGCAGGATTCCAACTTAAATTATCCACGTGTGTTTCCTTATTCTTCACGGTCTCCAGGAAAGATGAACGCATAAGCTGTTTGAATCTCCCCCCCGGCCCCAATCTGGTCTTTTTTTTGGTTTGCCAAATTCTTATAGCTAAAGAAATTTGTAAAAAAAAAAAAATTTTTTTTTTTGTCTATTCGTCTTTATAGGTGATATAATGCTGAGTACCTAGTAAAACAGTAGTTATAACTTGCATAGTGTTTTATTAATGTCAGCTCTCTGTCAACTTATTTTTTAAGTAAGTTTAATTTTATGTGCTTAGAGTAAAATTTTATGTGAAAATTTTATGTGCTTAGAGTAAAATATGGATGCATTCTTTCTTTAGGCATTTTAAATTATACCTGACATCAAGTACTGAGCGCTTTTCCCAAAATTTCAAAGTCGTGGTGGTAGATGGTAAAGATGAAAGTGAGTACACCGTCAAATGGCAGGATTTCTTCAGCGGACATGTGGTTGGTTAGTATGGACTTGTTTGTTTGCCTTTGTGTCTTCGGGTGTTAGGTATCCAGATCTAGTTTGATTGCATATTTCTTGGTGGGAGGAAAAAGGGATGTCAAAGAAGTGCTATTCTTTGTTTTATCTGAGTTATATAAATTTGGAAAGAGGAACATTCAGACAGGAGGAGATGGGGATTATCTTAGCATGTATACTAATTGTCTATTTTAATGATTAAAATGAATTTTCTCCCAGTTGATAAGAATTTAACTTCCTCTTGTCTCCAGGGAAGGATTGTAGGCTTCCCTTATGAGATTTTAAACAGGGAAGCTAGGAGATAAAATAATTGACTTTAGGATTCCGTTATTTATTTAAGACAGTATATCAAATGAACAATTGAGGCTTACTTCTGGAACTTCCTCTACAGAAAAAAGAAATGGCATTAAAATCTGCAAATAGTGCAATTCAAGCCCTGTGTATTCCAGATCATGCTTTCTGCCTCCTCTTTGTTCTTTTGTTTGTTTTTTCTTTCTCTTTCTTTCTTTCTCTCTTTCTCTTTTTTGGGGGGGGAGTGGGGGTGCAGAGGGAGAGAGAGAATCCTAAGCAGGCTGCACACCTAGCACAGAGCCTATGGGGGGCTTGATCTCACAACTGAGATCATGACCTGGGCTGAAATTAAGAGTTGGATGCTTAACCAGCTGAGCCACCCAGGCGCCCTCCTCTTAGTTCTTTCTTAACTTATAATAGGTGAAGTTATTTCGGAAGGACATGTACACGTTTGTTTTTGGTTTTGCTCTATAACACACTCTAGGTAATTCTTACAGGAGGATTGAGGGAAAGAGAAAGGTTTCAAATGAGTTGAGGCTACTCTTTAGGAGTGTGAATATCTTGCTTTTTGCTGGGGCCTGTGTTTCTTTGTGGTAGATTTCTATAGTACCTAGGCAAATTCCACTCTGATGAAGGACCTGATTGATTTTTACTGACAGTAGTGCATAGTTTATTTTTTGATATAAGTATTTCTTAATGATGGAATTTTTTTTTTTCTCTTAAGGTGAGCCTGACTCTAGAGTTCTAGCCCACATAGGAGATGATGATATTACAATAAGAATCAACACAGATGGGGCAGAATATAATATAGAGGTAAATCTATATGTACTTTTTTTTTAGGGGGGGAGCTGTTAAAACCGTTTACCAGTTTTAAGAAGACAAAGGTCTTTAACTATACTTCTTTTTTTCCTTGTGTCTAAAGTTTTTACCAGTGAAGTAGATGATTTTTTTATAAAAAAAAAAAAAAAAGGTAATATTTTTTACATGTCTGAGAGGCTGTCATAAGATACACCCTGTATTTCTAAGTGCCATGATTGAGAGAAAGTTGCATGTGTGGAGTGGATAATGGGAAGAGAAAACTTTCTTTCCTGATTCATTCTTTAATTCTTTCTCTGATAATCCTCCTATAAGTGTAAATGTTCTCAAAGACAAAAGTCAGGTCTTCTTTCTCCCGTTCCCTCCTAGACGCTCAGGAAATACAAGAGCAATAAAAGGTGAGAGTTTGTAGTCTGAGAAGTTAAAAGAGGAAACTAGGAAACTCAGGCTCTGGCCACTCTTCCACTGAAGTACTAGCAGTAGAAACCAAGAACGATATATAACCATGTGTCTGATACTAGTCCAGAAAACAAAATGTTTGCCACAGATTTGTGGATTGAAGTGCTTCTGTTTCTAGGAAGATGAGACTACTCTGGGTAGTAGTGACATCACCAAAACAGAGCACCTGTGGGAAAACAGCAATTAAGGTTGGTCAAAATGAAAGTTTCATGTGTATCTGAGTGCTGATTGGGTTAAGACCGCATGCTGGTGCTATAAATACTATAACTTTTAATAACATCCAGACTGTATGGCCACTAGTCATTTGTCCATCATTGTGAAAGAGAAATGTCTGTCTCTGGCCTTGCGATCTATTTTGGTCTGGCTAGTATGTAGTCTATCTAATGTCAATGTTGTGGGGAGTCTAGCTTACCAGAGTCAGAAAATTAGCACAAATTAAATGAGCATGTACTCCAAAATAGGCAAATCAATTAAGTCTTAAATTTGCTTAATCTTTTAGCTAGTTCGTTTTTTAAAAGTACCGTTATTTTAAAAATACTCCCTGAAATTTTCAGAAAATAGAATATCTAAAATCTAACTACTGGGAGATAGAACTACTGTTAACATTTTGATGAGTATCCTTCCAAATTTTTTTCTGTACATGTATACACAAATAAGTGGTTGTACGGACTTTTTCCTCTAACATTAGGACCATACAGTATGTACAGTTTGTTATCATGCATTTTTTTAAAAAGATTATTTATCTGAGGGGGCGAGAGTGAGAGCGAGAGAGAGAGAGCACAAGCGACAGGGAGGGGCCAGGGGAGAGGGAGAAACAGACTCCCCGCTGAGCGGGGAGCTGGACACAGGACTGGATTCCAGAGCCCGGGATCATGACCTGAGCCGAAGGCAGCCACTCAACCAATTGAGCCACCCAGGCACCCTTGTATTTTTTGTTTAATTTTTTATTTGAATTCAGTTTAGTTAGCATATACTATAATGCATTTTTAAAAATTTAACTATAATTATGAACATTTTTCCATATTAATAAATGAAGATCTAAATTGGGTTTTTAAAAAATATTTTGTTTGACAGCACACAGGCAGGGGGAGCGGCAGGCAGAGGGAGAGGGAGAAGCAGGTTTTCTGCTGAGCAGGGAGCCGGACACGGGGCTCGATCCCAGGACCTTGAGATCATGACCTGAGCCATCCAGGTGCCCCTAAATTAGGGTTTTTAATAAATGCTTGCCTGTTGGTTCCTTGAAACATGGTACCATTTATTAAACCAATCTCCCATTGAGGTTCATTTTTTTTGTTTCCAATTTTTGAAATAAAAAATGCTACAGGGGCACCTGGGTGGCTCAGTCAGTTAAGTGCCTGCCTTCAGCTCAGGTCATGATCCCGGAGTCCTGGGATTGGGCCCAGGGTTAGGCTCCCAAGCCTGCTTCTCCCTCTTCCTCTGCCGTTCCCCCTGCTTGTGTGCATGCATGCACGCGCATTCTCTCTGTCAAATTAAAATCTTTAAAAAAAGTGCTATGGTGAACAGCCTGGGCACACCTTTGGTGCGTGCATATAGTCTCAGGGTAGGAAACTCTGTAGGCTGTACCAGGGTTTCACATTAGCTGCTCCTGCAACTGAGCAGCTGCACATGTTCATTCCTTTCTCTCACTGAGGTGGACGTGGGTCGGGTGGTCCTTCTCCACCTTGTAGCTTGTAGCTTTGATGTCTGGACACATATCGTTTGAGGTTGCCACGGATGGGAAACGGAGCCAGAGAAGCCCACAGCGGTTTCTAAGGGCCGGACTTGGAAGTGGCTACAGCACTTCCACCCAGGTGGGACTGGAACTCTTGTTTCTGACCTGCCTGCAAAGGAGGCTGGGAAAGATCCTCTTGTCTTGTGCTCAGAAAGATAAAACAGTGTAGGGAATGCTCAGTGTTGTTTCTGCTTATTTCCTTAGAAGAATCTGTTTTTTAATTCAAAATGTGTACATGTAGGATCCAAGTTAAATTTCCTCAGATTCCTCACTTTTCTAAATAATTCCTTGGGGAGAATTAGCAATTCTGTTTCCAACCATATCTCCCTATCTCACTAAGTACAAAAATGGATATAATTAATATTTTATTGTGAGATGTTCACTTAAAAGTAAACTCAGCAGGTTTATTGAAGGACTTCTGCATGAGATTAGTAATCTTTTAATAGAAAAAGTGGTTTATACAATGGTAATTTTTTAATTTATTGCATAATTCTTATCTGCACTTAGGTATAAAAATTTTAAAATCTTAGACCTTATGTCTAAGAGTCAACAGGAAAATGTATATATCTTATTTTTAACACTTCACTATTAAACCTTTTTTTTTTTTTTTAAAGATTTTATTTATTTATTTGACAGAGACAAAGCGAGAGAGGGAACACAAGCAGGGGGAGTGGGAGAGGGAGAAACAGGCTCCCGCTGAGCAGGCAGCCCGATGCGGGGCTTGATCCCAGGACCCTGGGACCATGACCTGAGCCGAAGGCAGACGCTTAACAACTGAGCCACCCGGGCGCCCCTCACTATAAGCCATTACTGATTTTATTACCAAAGCTTGCTATTTATATAAATAAGCCTAGGTTAAGCTTTAATTATGATTTTTTTCTCCCCACCTTTTTGCTTTGAAAATGTTCACATTTACAGAAGGATTATAGAATACCCTGCAACCCTTCATTAACTGGTAGCATAATACCATGTTTGCTTTATTGTTTCTTTTCCCCCCCCTGAGTCCTTCGAAAATAAGTTTCAGACATCATGACTCCACCCCTGAGTGCTTTAGTGTGCATCTCCTAACAGTAAAGGTATTCTTCTACATAGCCACAATAACAGTAACACACCTGAGTAAACAAAAATAATTCTGTAATATTATTTAAAAACGCATAGTCAAAATCTCCAGTCATCCTCAAAATCTCCTTCATAGATTCCCCTCCACCCCCACCCCCAATTTAGGGTCCAAGAGGTTCTTGCCTCTTATTTAGTTATTCATCAGATGACTTTTTTCTGGCAACTTGTTAATAATGGTGAAAATAGGATTTGCTTTTACTAGGAGTAATAGTAACTACTTTTATCTTGAAATCTTAATATATAACTGGATTCATTATTTTACATTATCTTCAAGATAGGTGTATCAGTACTTTACCCAATGAAAAAAGTTATCTTCAGATAAGTTACTTGTTGAAGGCACACAGTGCAGGTACAGTTGAGGTTTGAACCTGGGTATTTCTGATCCCAAATCCTGCTCTCTTTTTCTGTGTCTGACTGACTACATCAGGAAACTCTTAATCTGAATTTAGAAATGGTTGATCCAAAAGAAAACATTTTTCTCTTTTCCTATTCGTAGGCCAAATGGGGTTGGTTAGGTAACTTTCTGAGGTTTCTGCTAGCTCTGCAGCTCATTGTTTCTTAAATCTACCTCATACGTGGATTATGAAAGAAGATCCACACACATACATTTGACCTTTGAACAACCTGGATTTTGAACTACATGGGTCCACTTATATGCAGATCTTTTTCAGTAGATGTATTGAAAGATTTTTGGAGATTTGCAACAATTTGAAAAAACTCGCAGATGAACCACGTAGCCTAGAAATACTGAAAAAATAAAGAAGTTAGGTATTATTGTAAGAAAATAGTATATAATACATCTAATGTACAAAATATGTGAATTGACTGTGAATGTTGTTGGTAAGACTTCTGGTTAACAGTAGGCTATTAGTATTTGTTTGGGGGGCACCAAAGTTACATGTGATGGGTTTTCAACTGCATGGGGGGGGTCAGTTCCTCTAACCCCAGCATTGTGGGAGAGTCAACTATATTTAACAGCTTTATTGAGATAAAATTCACATACTCTACAGTTCACTTGTTGAAGTATGTAATTCATTGAGTTTTAGTGTATCCTAGAGTTATGGAAGTCATCACCACCATCAATTTTAGAACATTTTCATCACCCCCAAAAGAAATACCATACCCTTTAGCAGCCCACCACCCTTTGCTCCCAAATCCCCTAGCCCTAGGAAACCACTGATCCACGGTCTCTGTAGATTTGCTTGATCATCATATAAATGGAATCATAAGATGTAGTCTTTTATGACTGGCTTCTTTCTCTTAGAATGCTTTTAAGGTTGGGGCGCCTGGGTGGCTCAGTCGGTTAAGCGCCTGCCTTCGGCTCAGGTCATGATCCCAAGGTCCCGGGATCGAGCCCCACATCGGGCTCCCTGCTCCGCGGGAGGCCTGCTTCTCCCTCTCCCACTCCCCCGCTTGTGTTCCCTCTCTCGCTGTGTCTCTCTGTGTCACATAAATAAACAAAATCTTTAAAAAAAAAAAATGCTTTTAAGGTTCATCCACGTTGTAACCTATGTCAGCACTTCATTTCTTTTTATTGCCAAATAATATTCTGTTTTATGCATATGCCACATTGTGCTTATTCATCAGTTGGACATTTGGGTGGTTTTCACTTTTTTTCCTATTACGGATAATGCTGCTGTCAACATTGGTGAACAAGTTTCTGTGTGAGCGTGTATTTTCAATTCTCTTGGGTTTATACCAGGAGTGGAATTTCTGGGTCATATGGTAACTCTATTTTTAACCTTTTGAGGAACTGCCAGACTGTTTTCTGTGGTGGCTGTACTCCACATTCTCACCATTTTACATTCCATAGTATATGAGGCTTCTGACTTCTCCACATCCTCACCAGTACCTGCCATTACCTATCTTTGATTCCAGCCATCCTGGTGGATGTGAAATTGTGTCCTTGTGGTTTAGATTTTCATTTCCATGATGGATATGGAGGGATGATTTCATATATCCATATATATATAAAATATAAGTGTGTGTGTGTGTATATACAATGTTTTTTTTGTACTTTCCTCACAAGCTGCCTAGTTTGGATAAGATCACCATCCTTTTAGGAACTTGGTTCTTGAATTGGGTAACCTTTCAAATATGTTCGTTCTGATTTACTGTGACCTTGCAATAGGGGAAGTGAAGATTATTTTTTTAAAGTGCTTTCCCTGAAAGAGAGAATGAGTTTTAGGCACATTGCTGCAAGTTTTCAGTCTTTTCTCCTGTGTATAAGATATTCACGGCAAGAAGATACTAAGGAAACAGGAATGAGAAGCATATAGGGCCAGAAGGCTCATCTCCCATTTGTTGCTGTAGGTCGTCACCTGGAGTGGGGTTGGTGTGCAGCAGGCGTTACATAAATGTTTTTGAGTGATGGAAAAGGTTATGCATTTCCTTTTCTGGATCTTTTAAAATGTATCATAATTTGTACAAAATAACTTTTTTCATATACATATAAAACCAAAGGGTGAATAACCCATGTGTTTATTTACCAGCATAGAAACTGAGAAAAATCGAAATGATTTATTTATAAGATTTTATTTATTTGAGACAGCCTGAGAGCGCTAGTGGGGTGGGCGGGGAGGAGCAGAGGGAGAGGGAGAAGCAGGCTCCCCGCTGAGCAGGGAGCCCAATGCGGGGCTCAATCCCAGGACCCTGGGATCATGACCTGTGCCGAAGCAGATGCTTAACCGGCTGAGTTACCCAGGTGCCCCTGAAATGATTTTTTTTTTGATAAAATGACTAGTCCATTTACTTAAATGAATGTTATCTAAAAGCAAAGGATGATGGGGCGCCTGGGTGGCTCAGTCGTTAAGCATCTGCCTTCGGCTCAGGTCGTGATCCCAGGGTCCTGGGATCGAGCCCCACATCAGGCTCCCTGCTCCGCAGGAAGCCTGCTTCTCCATCTCCCACTCCCCCTGCTTGTGTTCCCTCTCTCACTGTCTCTCTCTGTCAAATAAATAAATAAAATCTAAAAAAAAAAAGCAAAGGATGTTGTAAGAATCGAGTATTTAAGAATTCTTATATTTTGCATCTCAATTATGTATGTTTTCTGTTTTAGCCACTTTGGAGACTAATTAATGATACTAAAGACAAAAGAATTTTAGTTTATAAATCTGAAGATATCAAGAATGTTTCACGTCTACAGTCTCCAAAAGTGTGTGGTTATATAAAGGCGGATAATAAAGAGTTGCTTCCAAAAGGGCTGGTAGACAGAGAGCCACCTGATGGTAAGACTTAAAAATATATTTCAAATAAGAAACAAGCGTTATGGCTGTCTTCAGTAGGGGTGGTTGTTAATTTGATTAGTAATTATAAATTTGGCTTGAAAATAGAGTTTTATTCAGAAATTTCTTTAATTCTTTTGCCTATAATGTAAGAACTGAAAACACTAGAAAATAATGGTGACAATAAAGATTGGAAAAAGTCTACAGAAAAGGGAAATTGTGTAATCTGAGAGAAATTTTTTTTGTAAATATCAAAGAAGGATTGATAATACATAGTGTTTAAGTGGATGTGGAGAGGTGGGAAAAATTTTTTGTTTGGGATATTTAGAAATGACAAAATAATAAGTACTGTTGAAAACAATCTTTGGAAAAGTTTATAATCTTTGGAAAAGTCTTGGGAAAGATCACTTTATATATATTTACACAAATAATATTTATTTAAGATTTCTAAATTTTTAAGATTTTATGTGTTTGAGAGAGAGAGAGAAAGCACGAGTTGGGAGGGGGAGAGGGAGAGAGAGGGACAAGCAGACTTTCCGCAACGCAGAACTCCCATCGCAGGACTCAGATCATGACCTGAGCCAAAGTCAGACGCTTAACTGACTGAGCCGTCCAGACACTCCAAAGATTTTATTTTTAAAGTAATCTCCACACCCAATGTCGGGCTTGAACTCACAGCCCTGAGAGTAAGAGTCGCCTGCTCTACTGACTCTGCCAGTCTGGCGCCCCAGGACAGATCACTCTAGGGTCATTTAAAAACCTAACCATCTTGGAGAAATACTCTACTATCCTCATTTTTGAAAACTTAGAAAATATGACTAACATTTTAGTGTATAAATAAATTCTCAATTGGGTGTTTGATAAGAAAAATGACCTATTACCATAAACTCATTTTTAATGTCTGATTATCTTCATAGTTTTACCACTACTTTGCTTAATTTGTAAACTTCTAGAAGAAAATGACAGTTTCATAGCCCAACAATAGATTAGATGATTGTTTTACAAAGTACTTTAGAGTTTCCTTATTTTAAAAATTAAGGAGGCCCTTTTCCTTGGTTTTGAATTCTAAGATTTTAAAACCTCATACTACTTTTTACTTTTCTGTCTTCCTCCAAATTGTTTTTTGGTTGAAGATATCTTTAAGGATACTAAGCTCAAATAATGTTTGTTTCAAAAATATGCTAGATTTAAAGTGTTACTATAAAAAAACTCCTTGTTTTGATGAATTTTGATTTAATAGTGCATACAAATTCATATTAGAGCTTGTTCATCGAGTGAAGAGAAGAGCTGACCCTAATCCCATGAAGAACACGTGTAAATTGTTGGTGGTAGCAGATCATCGCTTTTACAGATACATGGGCAGAGGGGAAGAGAGTACAACTACAAATTACTTAGTAAGTATCTGATACTGGATCAGGTCACTGGACACAAAAATCAAGGTAGGTAGGCAAATTCCATTTAAGAGAAGACTGCTATGGTGTGATATGTAATGAAATGAGATCTGTTCCAGTTGCTCTCTTATTTCCTAAAATAATGGGGAGCTCTCTGAGGTTCTTAAATTACTCTGTAGAGATTCTAGTGTCAAATTTTTGAAAAGCCGTTATGCCCTTGAACTAATATTTTCTGCACATTAGAATTCTTATACATATTAATGTTTAGGGAGAGTTCGTAACATAGACCTCCCTTCTTTATTCAAGTGATCTCTTTGAAAATAGCAATGACGTATGGATGGATGGGTGCTCCAGAGTGGGGAAAAAAAGTATTTGTCTGAACCTTTGTGTATTCTCTGTTTATATGTATATTTCAGAGAAGATGGTCAGTTTGGTTTTTGTTTAAAATAGCTAATTGTTGGAATATAACTTCGTGGAGTAGATGGGACTTTCATGGTCATAACTAACTATAGGGCAAAGATTCAAAGGAAAGATTACAGAAGTATTGACACTGGGTATTTTGAGCCTTTATATTATAATTTGAAAAGCCAAGGGAATCCCATTTCATGGACATTTTTTGTTAGTATGATCTCATTCGTCATGATAACTTGGCACTGACAAAATGTTGTTGAGGGAATAAAAGAGAATGCAGCTATTCATGAATCAAGAGTGTAGGCCCCAAAAGACGCCTTTCTCATTGCCTTGCTTTTTCCGTTCTCTCTGTTTTATTCATACCCTCCCTCACCCTTCTTTCCCTACCCTTCCAGTGTCAAGTGAAAGAATTTATTATGAGGGTAGTAGGAGTAGTGTGTGAAGTCACTGCAGTTCTTGTTCCTAAGTAAGAGAGATTCTTTCTTGAAAAAGTTTCTTAATATGGGTTTGTATTAAGGGGTCTTAATTTACTTTTTTGTTCATTACACCACAAATATGAATATAATGAGAGGTCCAGTCTTAACAGTTGCATTTCTTAGTTTTACACTTACTATAAGCAAAGAACAGTTTTTAGATTTCTAATGTGCTTCACGGTTGCTACAACAAGCCTCATCTAGCCATTTTATGAACAATAGAATAGTCTGAGGAAGAGATGGGTAATGAGTATTATGTTCTTACGTAGTTGGAGTCACCCTTGTTCCTCCTCCCCCCAACCCAGTATTCTCTGTCTACCTCACCTGCCATCCGAAAGCAGAGGACAGAAGAAAGGGGGACCGTCCGGTGGAAGCTCACTCCTCTTTCTCTCTGCCCAGTCCTTGGTGCTGGACTTTGTCCAGTGAGGGCCGGGGGTAGGTTGAGCAGCATCTGTTACTGCCCCTCACCTTTTTCTGAGGAAGGGTTCTGAGGTTCTTGCCGAGAGATGGAGTGGAGATGGACTGCTTCTTAGAAGGGCAAATTTTAGGTACACTGGTTGACTTTTAACTTTCATTATTATAGTTGATTGAAATGGCAGTTTTTTAGAAGCCTGTTACTTGATATTTTGGTTCATATGCAATTGATCACCTAAAATTTGAGATGAACTGTACCACTTCTTGATTCTAATAATAATACTCTTAAGTTTGAGACTAGGAATAATTGTTTTGTTAGTGTGATCAATGACAAAGAATAACATCTTAATGCTAGTTTTGTGATTGGTGGAAACTTGTACAGTGGTATTTTCTCTAAACTGACCATTTTAATCCCTGCAAAATTTATATTATGTTGCAGAGTGGTAATACATGTCTTTCTCTCACTCTTTTATAAACACAGATAGAGCTTATTGACCGAGTGGATGACATCTATCGGAACACTTCATGGGACAATGCGGGTTTTAAAGGTTATGGAATACAGATAGAGCAGGTATTTACCAATGGATGTGGATGTGGCTTTTATTACTCTGCTGAGTGATGTGATGCAGATATTTGTCACTTGTATTCAGAACCCAAAAACTGATCTGCGACTCTAATCTTACAAATTTTCAGATGCCAGTGATTTTTATCTGATAAATTGTATAGTGTTTTTGAATTATTTACAGATTGTCTTTTATTTACAGAAGTCTTTTGTTCTTAGGCTTATTATAGGCAGAAAGCCTTTTTAGGCTGCTGTGATCTCATCTTTCTCTGAATTTATGTTGTTTTTATCCCCTTCATTGTTTCACTTTTTTTGATTATGCTTTATGTCTTTAGTTAGAATGTTGGCACATATTGTTGAAACCTTAGAAAATTTACTCAGAAATACTGTGTACATTTGTAAGGCATTTATGCATATAGAACCAGTAGATCTCTTTTCCCCAGAATTTTCTGGTTTCTTCTAATCTGTGGATAGAGCACATCCAGTAATGGTGTATTGATGTCATCTTAGTTATATCTCATAGTAAACATTGTTTGAAATTGATAAGACTAATTAAAAAGACGTCTGAAGTTGGGTATTGCTTTGGACAGATACTTAATATGTAAATTATTATCTCTTGTTTCTTCCAGGCTTTTTGTACTAAATTAACCATATTCTTATAGGTTCTGTAGTATAGAATTTAGAGATTAAGAAACAAAACTTCTGAAATCATGCATCATACTATATAAATGTTAAACTTTTATAGTACTTGTATGAAACTAAGAGAATTATTTTTCCCTTTTCCATTCTCTTTTACTGTTTTGCATTTTCTTTTAAGTTATTATTTGAATAGGTAATATATACACATGGTACAAAAGCCAGTGAAAAGTAAGTCTCTTCAACCTCTGTCAAACCAGTCCCTTTCCCCAGAGACATCCATGTCACAAGTTTCATAAGTATTGTCCCAGAGATTTTGTGCATGCATAGCATGTGTATGTATATGTGTGTATTTGACACATGGTGGTATGCTCTACTCTTTTGCACCTTGCTTTTTCATTTTGCGAATATGTTGGTGATTGTTCCATTGTGGTACATAGAAAGCTGCCTCACTTGTCTAAAATAGCTGCATCATGTTCAGATTTTAGGGGCCCAATAAATAAAACTCCGTTTTGCCTTAAGAAGTTGGAACCACTTGGAAAAATAGGTGCAGTGTAGGAGATTGAAATACCAGCTTTATAATAATGATAATGGATTAGATGGTGTGATTTAGATGTACAATCACAGTGGGCTTTTGTTTCATCCCAGAATTGATCTTGACCACCCGCCACCAAAGCCACAGAGCCCTCCCCTGTGAGCCTGCCACGTGGTGGCAGAGCAGCCCAGATTACACCCCTCCAGGCAGGTCTAGCCAGCGGAGAGGCTAGAAAGGGCTGAGCTGAGCCTGGCTTTGTTCTTTGCCCTAAACACCCTCACCGGTCGATAACGTTTCATCTCCTTCGGAGGAAAGCCTTTGTTCCCTTTTTATTAAAGCAGGATTAACATGAATTTTTACTGTATGTACAAGGAAAAGCCCCTGTTCTTTATAATCTTTTATTTCTACGGGGTGCAGTGACAGACATCTAATTGTTCTGTGTCTCTGAATCATTGACTATAGTTGGAGTGAATATTTTAGGCTCAGGGAACCCAGGTTCTCATTTTGTCAAACTAAATGTAGAGGAAATAAGAGTTTAGGAGTACATTTATAAATTGATAAGTCATTGACATACATGTTTTCCATAGCATATGCTCCTCAGTTTGTTTTTAAATGAATATTAGAGCTGAAGAATTTTACGGAATTTTGGTTTTAAAACATTTTTTCTAGAATGGTAGATGATCTTATTTTGAATAGCTAAAACAGTGCAGTATTATTTTAGTCTTGTGACTTTTTTCTGAAGTGTTCTAAGTATATTGTCTCTTTAAGTATAGATCCGCATTCTCAAGTCTCCACAAGAGGTGAAACCTGGTGAAAGGCACTATAACATGGCAAAAAGTTACCCGAATGAAGAAAAGGATGCTTGGGATGTGAAGATGTTGCTAGAGGTAGGTGGTGGAGTCCCAGACATGATGCTGTTAGTGCCCTTTGTGGTTTCTAGTACATGGGGCGTGTCTGCATCAATGAAGGGGCGCACTGAGAAAGGTCATTGAAAACCAGGAGCAGCCCACCCCAGCTGATGCAGCAGTGACCTCATCCCTGGAGCAGGGCAGACAGCAAGACGGGCCAAAAAGTTGTGAAAATGAAAAATGCTAGAAAGTGGTACTTCTTGATCTTAATATCTTTGAGAATCTAGTTGAAGTATTGGGACTTTAGAAAATGTATACTCAATATAAACATTTTTTGCACACCATTTTGTTCAGGTTTCTTTGAAACTTATCAGTAGATCTGTTAGGTCAGTAATTGTCAAACAGTATGAAAATGTATTAGTAGAAATATAACTTGAAGATGTGGAAGTTTTCTACAGGATTTAAAAATCTTCGTGACTGTATTCTGGTAATCTGAAGATAGCCTAAAACATTCTATGCCATATGATTCTTGCCTCGACTGGGTATGATTGATCCTTTTTGCCACATATTTTAGTGTCTTGAGTTTGTGTATGTGATCGCTTTGTTGTAAAATCACCTTCTGTGAAGTGATAGTGATCTTTTAATATGTTAGTAGGTGTATTGGTTTCCTGTGGCTGCTCTAACAAGTTCCCGAAAATTCACAGCTTATAACATTTATTTATCTAGTGGTTTCCATGGGTTAGTCCATGTACAGTGTGGCTCATCAGTCTCACGGGGCAAAAATTAAGTTTTCAAAGCTTGAGTGGAGTTAAAGGATATTACCAGCTCTTTTTCCAGGTTGAGATGCATAGAGTGCTGCATGTGTTCAGTACTCCACTTGCCGTCTCTGCGGTGACCCACTTCCCCACCAGAGCTTGAGGCAGCACCGTTCACTTCTCAAGAGGCTCGGCAAGGATTAGGAGTGCCAGTAACAAAGCACTGCAGACTGGTGGCTTAAACAGCAGAAATGTATTTTTCACGGTTCTGGAGGCTGGAAAACCAACGCAAAGTTAAAACAAAAACCCTAGGTGTTTTTGTTGGCTCAGTCGGAAGAGCATGCAACTCTTGATCTTAGGGTTGTGATACCGAGCCCCATGTTGGGTGTAGAGGTTACTAAAAATAAACTTAAAAAAAAAAAAATACATACAAAACCAAATAGAGTCCTTGAAATACTTTAGAGGGATCTGTTTGGTATTAGGTGCCGACATCCCCTGGAAGGAGTAGTCAAGCCCTGAGACTTCCAGAATTGGCATGTCTCCAGGACCAGGCTGCATGGCTTCAACCAGCCCTCTTGGTTTTGAATTGCTGTAAGAAGCTCCCAAGTTCTTCCCTATCCCATCCCCCTCCCCGACTCGATGGTACTGCACTTCTTACCTATGTAGGTGGGTGAAAATTGTATGTAAGGAGCACAGTGCTGCAGTTTTGTGGTTGCTGATGTAGAGCTGCAGTCAGTCATGTGGTATTTTCCAGTGTCTGCTGAAACATCTTTTAGTCTGATGCAATTGTTAGTCTAATTAAGAGTACTTTTTTTCTTAAAGCAATTTAGCTTTGATATAGCCGAAGAAGCATCTAAAGTCTGCCTGGCACATCTTTTCACCTATCAAGATTTTGATATGGGAACTCTTGGGTTAGCTTATGTTGGTTCTCCCAGAGCAAACAGTCATGGAGGCATTTGCCCAAAGGGTAAGTCTTCCATTTGTTGTGTGGATATGTGAGAATGGCAGACTGATTAGATTGTATTGTAATCCTGTATTAAATAAGCAATTTGTCTCTATTTTCTTTGTCCTCTAGCTTATTATAGTCCAATTGGAAAGAAAAATATCTATTTGAATAGTGGATTGACCAGCACAAAAAATTATGGTAAAACCATCCTTACAAAGGTATGTTCTCTTATTTTTTAAAAGGATAGATTTTGAGTTTATTGTAGTAGAACCTCAGTTGTATATATTTATGTAGGTATCTTTAAAAAAAGTAATGCGTACTTTTGTTTCTGCCTAAAAAAATAACATGTGTTTTGGTGGGAAATGTGAAAATAAAAAATATAAAGAAAAAGATAAAAAGCTACCTGTGAGATTTCTTTTGAGACCCATCAGGGTCATTGTTTTTCCTGAAGACACCCCTCCTGGAGCCCTTCATCCTGTGGTTTCTCTGCAGACTACTTGGCTCCCAGTCCTGCAATGTAGCTGTCATTTGAAGACCTCCCCAAACTCCCTCATTTCCTGGACTTCATGTCCGTCCGTCCGTCAGTCCTTGCTTGCTTGCTTGCTTGCTTGCTTCCTTCCTTCCCTCCCTCCCTTCCTTTCTTCCTTCCTTCCTTCCTTCCTTCCATTTATTTATTTGAGAGAGCAAGTGAGAGGGAGAGAGCACTTGAGAGGGGAGGGAGAGGGGAAGGTCAGAGGGAGATGCAGACTCCCCGCCAAGCAGGGAGCCCGATGCAGGGCTTGATAATGGGACTCTTGGATCATGACCTGAGCTGAAGGCAGATGCTTAACTGACTGAGCCACCCAGACGCCCCTGTTCTTTTTCTTGATTTATACCATCATTTTGGTGTAGCTATTTTCCAGGAGCTTCCTAAGAAAAGGGTACATGAGAGGCAAATTGAGATTTTTGCATATCTGTAATTGTGTTTAACCTTCTCTTAAACTTGATTGATAATTAAATTTTCTCAGCATTTGCAGACATCGCTCCATTGTCTTCTAGTATTTTGTGTTACCGTTAGAATCTGAAGTCATTCTGATTTTTTATCCTTTGTATGTGACCTGTTTTTTTCCTCTAGAAGATTTTAGGATCTTGTTTTTGCCCAGGTATATCCATTAGGAATATGTTAGGCACATTCCAGCAAATCCATGCGACTGAAAATCCAACACAGCGACTTAAATAAGAGGTGTGTTTGGTTCAGTCAACAGCAGGGTCATGGATAGCATCCGTGGGTGCTGCAGCAGCTTAGTGATGCTCTCAGGGAGCGAGGATCCTCCCAGTTTTTACTCAGCCCCTTTGAGCACAGGCCTTTGTCCTCATGCTTATCCTCTGCTCACAAGGTGGTTCTGTTCGTGCTGCAGGAAGGAGGACAGAGCCTCATCTGTCCCTTATAAAAAGAACCTCTGGAGTCCCACCCACTGGCTTCTGTTTATATCTCACTGGACAGAATCAGTCATGTGACTGACCTACCTTCAAAGAAATATGGGAAGGTGGCTATTTTAACAGAGTATATTGGCAACCTGAGCAGGATTAGGATTTTTTAAGGAAGGAAGAAGAGGAGAATGGATATTGATAGGAAATACTAGTTTCTGATACACTGGTAGTTTGGCTATGACGTTATAGTTGGTGTTGGTTTTTTATCCCACTGTGTTGGGCCCTTCAATCGTGACACTCCCAACTCCCACAGTCCTACTGCTATTCTGTTGTTGGTCGCATTAATCAGGACCTCATTTAAGAAAAGCAGGGCCTAGTTGGCCACAGCAGCTGACGGTTGGATATTAAGTCATAATGTTTACTTTGCATGATCCTTTAAGGAAGCTGACCTGGTAACAACTCATGAATTGGGACACAACTTTGGAGCAGAACACGATCCGGATGGCCTAGCGGAATGTGCCCCAAATGAGGACCAGGGAGGAAAATACGTTATGTATCCCATCGCTGTGAGTGGAGATCATGAGAACAATAAGGTATGTATCTCTTGGAGCATTTTTAGGTTAGGAAGGAAAGAGGCTGTGTTTAATTATAATGAGAGCGCAGAAAAACCTTCCATTCCGGGGATGGAACTGCAAATTATGAAGTACCTTCAAACTTGGTTGTGTGTTTTAGAGTGAAATGAGGACCATCGAATCTGGTTGAAGCTATCATTTGGACTGTTATCAGAGTTAATTGTGTTGATTGGGGCTATATGAAAAAGTAGTGATAGTAATGGCTTGTGCTGGAGTTCTAGACGGCAAGGTCTGGTGCAAGTTAAAAATTTCATGTCATTTCTTTTTTTTTAAAGATTTTATTTATTTATTTGAGTGAGAAAGCACAGGCAGGGGGAGCAGCAGGGGTAGAGGGAGAAGCGGGCTCCCCGCTCAGCAGGGAGCACCTGATGCGGAACTCGATCTCAGGACCCCAGGATCATGACCTGAGCCAAAGGCAGACGCTTAACCAACTGAGCCATCCACGCACCCCAAAAATTTCATGTCATTTCTTATATAAGCTGTTGTTCCTTTTAACTCTCCTTAATTTGCATGTTTTCATAAACTTTTGCAACAAAATACATAATTTGCCAGACTGTAAACCTCCGGGGGGAAAGGCCCTTGCTTATCTTGTTCACAGTTCTGTCTCCAGTGCCTAGCAGGGTACCTGGCACGTAGCAGTTTGAGTAAATAAATGAACAGTTTGCTGCCGGGGGTTTCTGAGAGTACACGAGTCCGTGGGAGAAACTTTAAGAGTGGCCACGACTGGCTCTTAGACTCTGACCTGAAAGTGCTCACAGACATCTGGTTTGTGCATTTCACTTGAAGTTAAGCAGCACAAAGCATCATGAGAAAAACATACTGGTGTTGTTGCCAAGTTAGAGAGGGCTGACTAACTGGGAAAGATGGTGAAGTATTTCTCTTGGTTTCCTTTTTCAAGCCAGGGTGTGGCACTTTAAAGCCTGGCAGGGAGCTAGAGGAAGGGATTACTTTTGTGTTTCCCTGGCCCTGACCCTGCTTTTGGAAGTTTCTTTCTCGTGTTTTTTTTTGTCATCTTTTTCCTTGGCTATTAAGTATAAACAGTCTCTTCCTCTCTTGCTTTGCACCTTAAGTTTTGTATTTCCTCTGCTTGACAGCTTGCGCCTGAGGCGCTTTGCCCTCTTCGTTTGCCTGTTCTTCCGACTTGTCACATACCCTGTTGAATTTTCCTCTGTTTTTCATAGTTGTCTCTGTATTTCATTTTTTTTAAATTATTTATTTTTAGAGAATGTGTGCACGAGTGGGATGAGGGGCAGAGGCAGAGGGAGAGAATCTCAAGCAGACTCCCTGAGGAGCCCAACATGAGGCTTGATCTCATGACCCTGAGATCACGACCTGAGCCAAAACCAAGAGTCAGATGCTTAGCCGACTGAGCCACCCAAGCGCCCCTGTCTCTTCATTTCTAATCATGTACATTCTAGCTCAGTGCTATTCAGTAGAAGGTTCTGGCATGACAGAAACATTCTGTATTAAACAGCAACCCCTAGCCATAGGTGGCCATTGAGCACTCCACATGTGACCGGAGAGACCAAGTAACAATTTTAAATGCTGTTTTATTTTATTTTATTATTCTTTTTAAATTATGTTTTATTTAAATTCAGTAGTGATTGCCTGGGATTGGAGCTGGGAATGGGAATTAACTGAAAAAGGACATGAGGGACCTTATTGGGACACGTCCACAAGTTGATTTATCGTGATGGCTGCACCACTTGGTAAAGTTATTGGAAATCACTGATTTGGACACTTGAAATGGGTGAATTTTGTGATATGTAAAATATGCCTTAAAACTATTTTTTTTTTAAGATTTTATTTATTTATTTGACAGAGACACAGCGAGAGAGGGAACACAAGCAGGGTGGGTGGGAGAGGGAGAAGCAGGCTTCCCGCTGAGCAGGGAGCCGGATGTGGAGCTCCATCCCAGGACCCTGGGATCATGACATGAGCCGAAGGCAGACGCCTAACGACTGAGCCACCCAGGCGCCCCATGCCTTAATAAAGCTCTTGAAAAACAACAACCACCCAGTGTGGGAGCAGAGGGGAAGTGGTGAGGGTACAGAGGAGTTAGGAAGCCATGAGTTGATCATTGTTGAAGCTGGTGAGGGGCATGTGGGCGTTCACAATACCATTCTGTCCATTTTGCAGCTGTGTGAACATTTCTCTAATAGAAAGTATGAAGTATGTGGTGAGGAAAAAGAAATTGTAATAGCCACATTTGGCTCCTGGCTGTAGTATTTACACAGTGCATTCTATAGTCATTTGCTTCTTTGTTAGGAGGATGGTGTGAGTACTTTGGGGGAAATTATCTTACTTTGCAGACTCTTGCTCTACAAGTTCTCCGTAGTGAAATTTTCCTGTGAGCTCTTCCATGGCCTTGTAATGACTTCTAAGGAGAATAGTGCCTGGCCAGAGCCTCTTTTTTTTTTTTAATTCAGGAGGTTGGGGCACCTGGGTGGCTCATTCGGTTAAGCATCTGCTTTTGGCTCAGGTCATGATCCCCCAGAGTCCTGGGATTGAGCCTCACATCGGGCTCCCTGCTCAGCAGAGATTCTGCTTCTCCCTTTGCCCCTCCCCCTGCTCATGCTTGCTCTCTCTCAAATAAGTAAAACCTTAAAAAAAATAAATTTAGGAAGTGCCCGTCATCCACATTGGGCGTAGAGCTTACTTTTTAAAAAAAGAAAAAAACACAGACAACTCTTGGGGCACCTGGCACGTGACTTTTGATCTCAGGGTTGTGAATCCAAGCCCCATGTTGGATGTGGAGCTTACTTAAATAAAATGTGCGGGACAAGAAAAGGAAGTGCCAGTTTATCAAAAAAGAACAATTTATCCATTTATTTATTTTGTCCCAAACACATCATATTTAGTGTATTTTCTATTAGTTTGGTTTACCCAAGTAGTGATCCTCTTGTAAAAAGATACTGGGTGTCTTCTAATCTACATTTTAAATGAATTCCTTAATAAAAATGTTTGTAACTAGATAAAAAGCACTCCAGTTTCCTTGACCTCGAAAGACGGGGCCTGGTACCTCTCACAGACAATCTGCTGAGAAGTGATGTGCCTCGGGCCTCACTGCGGTCAGATGGCACGAGGGGGGTAAGCTTGTAGGAGGGCTTGTTGGCACAAGAGGAGAGAGTGTGGGACGGGTGCAAAGAGAAGGCCAGAGGTCTTCAGGGAACGTGAAAACCACGTTCCTCTTAGCTCTGCCCAAGGGCCCCGCCACTCGGGCGTGTGGCTCTGATAAGATAGTGAGGAGGCTGCTTACTGCTTCAGTGTGAATTCTGATTTCTTAGCATCTGATCTCCCATGAGTGAACTGATAAAATTGAGTTCATGAATCTGCAGTGCTTGTGAGTAAACCCAGCAAATTCTAACTGCCCGAGGCCTAGACTGAGATAACCAGACCTTAAATATCTTTACCATAGAATAAATGGGAAGATCCTTTAAAAAAAAGCCTGGTTAATATTTCTGTTTCAGGTGATAAGGTCTTGGATATCATTGTAAAAGCAATCCTTTCGGTATCTGACTCAACGATCAAGTTACCTTTGGAGGGTCCTGTGTTCTCTGTTCCCCAGGGGCTTCATGGCTCTCGTCTGGGGCAAAATGAAGCCATTTTAGCAACTGTGCAGCAAGCACTTGTGAAGACCCTGCCTCAAGAAATCACTGCACAAGTTTCCCTCAAGTCTTTTACTCCCTTTCTTGCTAATTTCAGATGGTTTGGGAAATGGACTCCATTTCGGGGCTCCCGGTAAAAATCCCCAAATTTATAAGGAGGCCATTGCCCTGGTTCTATATTGCAAGTGGAGAAGCGAGGGTAGAGGCTTCCTTTGGGACATGGGTCACCTGCAGAAATCTCAAACTGAAAATTATGGAGACCCATGTGAATGTTTAGGTAACAATTTGGATTTTTATCTTTTAATAGACTGTATATAATATCCTACTTCTTACTATGCTTATCTCTTTAAAAACTTGGAACATGGGTCATTTGTACACATAGCCCGGGCAAAGAGAAGGAAGTAAATCAGAGGTAGACTCGTCATGTGCAGGAAGGTGGTGGTGTGGGCCTTATTCTTGTCACTGCAGCAGTGTCAGGTGCCATCGGCGAGTCGGGGGGGTGGGGCCGGACCGTGGGTCCTCTCGATGGGACTGACTGGGATGCGTGGTCTCCGTGTTTGTACAGCTTGCCTGGGAAGAATTTTAGGCTTTTAACCAAATTCACACCAGCTTCTGAGCACCCAACTGGGGGACAGCTTGATTCCCTATAGCTGGCCTTTTGAGGTGACAGTGATGGAATTTGACAGACCTTTGAGGTGGCTGTGATTTTGGCTGTTACAGTAAGAGTTTGTCTCTAGAGAAGAAACACAAACACTACATGGGAATGATGTCTTGTCAATTTGGTTCCTTTGTGGCCTTTTTTCTTGTAAGATGTTTTCAAACTGCAGTAAGCAGTCCATCTATAAGACCATTGAAAGTAAGGCCCAGGAGTGTTTTCAAGAGCGAAGCAACAAAGTGTGTGGGAACTCCAGGGTGGACGAAGGAGAGGAGTGCGACCCTGGCATCATGTACCTGAACAATGACACGTGCTGTAGCAGTGACTGCATGCTGAGGGCGGGCGTGCAGTGCAGGTGAGCTCGGGGCCTGAGAATCGGGAAGGGGGGTGTGCTCGCGTGGGCGTGTTTGTCTCTCCTTGTCCTTTACAGCAAGGAAACTGCTTTCTGAGAAGCCGTGTGACTTTATGTCACAAAATCTTTCATCTTGTAGACTTTTTGATTTGGGACCCCACAGCTCAGAGAGTCTTTTCTAAGGAAACACAAGAGGTGATTTAATGAGGATGTTCACGGCTGCCGCCTTTTATAGTAACAAGATATTAGACCTAATGAGAATGACAGTCCTGAGATCTAAATTATTGTGTTTCTATGCAATAAAACAGTGTTGGAGAATCCTGTTTAATGGCATACACTAAATGCAGAGGAAGCAGGTTACAAATTAGAAGTACCTGTGTTTCCATGTTGCTGACTGGTGCCTGGCTTAGCGTAGAAGGGGAGAACTTGACTTTATGGTGAGTAGCAGATGTGAGCGATGTACAGCGTGGACGGTCGTTATAAATACTGATGGGAACTAGGACTCGGGCTGCCTAGCTTCCTCACTGTTAGTGGCCTTGCAGGCCCGTGTCTTCCTTTTTTTTTTTTTTTTTTTAATTACTGTGTTAAGTTAACGAAAACCAAGGACACCAAGGTGTTCTGAGGATGCGTCCCCTCGGACCTCTCTGCGCTTACTGTCTGCATCGCTGCTGCCTGATGAGTGTGTGCAGGTGGGCCAGTGTCCGGGAGGGCTGAGCATGCAGCGCTGGGCAGCCCAGCCAGGACGCCTTCCCTGCCATCTTCAGGGCCCTCTGACATGTCTGTAGTGTTTGCTGTGGGGCTGACCTTTGACTGGATCTCTTCCTGTCTGCTCTACCTCTGCAGTGATAGGAACAGTCCTTGCTGTAAGAACTGTCAGTTCGAGACTGCCCAGAAGAAGTGCCAAGAGGCTATCAATGCCACTTGCAAAGGCGTGTCTTACTGCACAGGTGAGTCCTTCTGCTCGTTCTCTTGAGATACTTGGCTCCGGCGGATGTGTGTATGTTTGAAACAACACTGTGTTTCGTTCAGATGAAAACAGCCTTCAGAATCCTACTCCTTAGTTGGAGATGCACTTACCATTGGTCGGTGCCAGACCCGTCCTGCTTTCTCACTTGCCTTTCGTCCACTTGGTTTCCCTCACCTCCTTCCTCTTACAGGCGGCACATGGAATGCGTTTAATGTTTGCCTGGCTATGTGTATTTCCATGAAATATGGGGGAGTGTTATTTTGTGTATATGTGTTTTTAACATGCCAGGATAATACTCGACTTCAGATCTTCTTTTAGACCATCTCACAGACCATCTGTCTTTGTCTATATCCATGTCTGTACATAGTTCATTGTTTGGGGCACCTGCTGAGTTTACTTATGTAGTGTATTGTACCCATCTGTTCACTAAGTAATGGCTCGGATTACCTTCATCTTCTGGGTACCACAGAACTACGACAGACAATCTCCCATGCACCTTCCAGGTGTTGTAAGCGTTTCCTGGGTGCACGTGAAGGAGTGGAGTTGCTTGGTCATAGAAAGCAGCCCTACGTTGATCTCTCTAGAACAGCAGCCCTGGTGCGCCAGTAGGGTGTGCGGATTCCTGCATCCCAGTCTCCTTGTCAGCCCTCGCTGTCATCCAGATGGTCTTATTTTTTTGCCAGTCTGATGAATGTAAAGTGATCTCTCATCCGTATTTGCATGTTTCTTGAACATCTCCTATCTGTTAGCCATTTGGATTTTTCCTTTTGTAAATAGCCAATTCATATATGTGGTCTTTTTTTTTTTTTTTTTTAATTTAAAGTATTCTCCATGTCCAACATAGGACTTGAATTCACAACCCTGAGGTCAAGAGTTGCATGTTCTGGGGTGCGTAGGTGGTCCAGCTCTTGGTTTTGGCTCAGGTCACGATCTCAGGGTTTTGGTACCAAGCCCTGCATTGGGCTCTGCGCTCAGCAGGAAGTCTGAGATTCTCTCCCTCCCCTCTGCCCCTTTCCCTGATCATGTACACTCTCGTGCATTCTTGCGCTCTCTTCTCAAATAAACCTAAAAAAAAAAAAAAAAGTCACACGCTCAAATGACTGAGCCAGCAGGGTGCCCCTATTTGGTTCACTTTTAAAAAATTTGGGTTTCCTGTCGTTTTGCTATCGTTGGAGGAGTCATTGTATGATGATTTAGTTGGTTTAAAAGTTGCATATACCTTCCTCCTATCTGTTGTCCGCCTTGGAACAGAAACTTTTTAAAGATTTTATTTTTATGTATTTATCAGAGAGAGAGGACAAGCAGAGGGAGTGGCAGGCGGAGGGAGAAGCAGACTCCCTGCTGAGCAGGGAGCCCGATGCGGGGCTCGATCCCAGGACCCTGGGATCATGACCTGAGCCAAAGCAGACGCTTAATGACTGAGCCACCCAGGCGACCTGTTCACCCATTTGAAGTGTACAGTTAGTGGTTTGTAAGGTGTTCACGTTTGTGTAACCACTGGCAGTCTGTTAACGTCTTCATCACCCCAAAAAGAAAACCGTGTCCTGTAGCCATTCCTGAATCTCCTCATCACCACCCCCCGCCCCCCAAGCCCCAGATAACCAGTAATCTACTTTTTGTCTCTGTGTATTTGCCTGTTCTGGACATTTCATATAAACAGAATCCTACAATATGTGGCCCTTTATAGCTGTCTTCTTTCATTCAGAGTCACGTTTTCAAGATTCATCCATGTCATAGCACGAAGCAGGACTTCATTTATTCTTACTGCTGAGTGATCACCCATTGTGTTCAGATGTGCCACGTTTTGTTTCATTCATTCATCAGTTGATGGACTTTTGGATTATTCCCACTTTCCGATGATGAATAACACTGTTATGAACATTTGTGTGCAAGTTTTTGTGTGGTTGTATGTCTGTCTTTGCCCCGTCTGGACCCAGGAGCGGAATCGCTGGGTCGTATGGTAACTGTTCCATCGTTTGAGGAGCTGTGAAGCTGTTTTCCCCAGTGGCTGCGCCATTTTACATTCCCCCCAGCAGTGTCTGAGGCTTCCTCTTTGTCCACGTCCTCAGCAACACTTGTTGTCTTTTTGATTATAGCCTTCCCAGTGAAGCTTTCTCTCAGTTTGGTTTTTCCTTTGCCTTTTCAACGTGCATTTTATAAGATGCCGCTCGTGACTCTTGCATTCTATTGGCGTGACCACAGTTTGCCACTTGTCAGGAGCTGGAACAGTCCCAGTCAAGCTTCACACGAACATTTTCTAGCTGTGCTCAATGTTTCAGTCTTTATTTTAGTAGTAAAGCAGATTCAGAAAAATGTTCTTTTTCAATAAGCCTAAGCAAAGCAGTTTGAAAAACTTTATTCCTTCTTATCAAATAGCCTTTTGTTCCCTTGATATTTTATAGGAAGGAGCAGCTAGCAGAACATAAACTCATTATTAGGACTCAGCATTCACGACCAGCAGCGTCAGCATCACCTGGGACCTTGTTAGACATGGACGTTCTTGGCCCCCTCCACGCTCCCCCCGGGCCCCGGGCCCCAGGCAGCTCTGAGGACGGGCGCAGTGGTCTGCCCACTGGGTCTGATGCACCCTGAGCCTCGTGAGCCCGGGCAGCTAGGTGGCACTGTGTCTGTGATGATTTTCCTCTGTGTCTGATGCTGTGATTTTAGTCTTCTGAGCACAGATGTTCTGCAGATACTCACGGGGCATTTTGCACGTCTGTGTTCGGGGCAGCAGAACAGACTGAAAATACCGTGGCAGCTCGGTGTCACCGTTGACGGGCGTGCTGCCCTTTTCCCACAGCCTGCTTTCAGCAGCAGCAAGCTTGTTACGTGCCTGTCCTGTTGGCACTGAGTGCCCAGTGCCATGAAGGGTTTCGTCAGACCGGAGGCACGTGTGATGTGCCCGCGTTAGTAGCGTATGGTGTATATTGGGTACTTCATGGAAGGCTGCTTTTGTTTGAGCCAGGGCAGGTTCCTTTAAGTTTCCTGTCACCATTCCACTGACTTTGAAGTCCGAGTTCTTTCAGACTCCATGAATTGGTCCCGTTCGTCAGGCGAAAGGCCAGGACTCCAGCTCTGGTCACCGTCCTCTGTTTGCATATAGTAGTTCTCTTCTTGTGGTCATGTTTAACTGTGTGTTGCTCATTTTCCAGAATGAGCCCCTCATTCCAGTGAGAAACTTGAATTTAACATCCTTCTGTGGCTTTTCTTTGTCTGGAAGAATCATTGGTTCATTTAAGAAATAATCTGTGGCGTACTTATGGTGTGTGGTAAGGATTCGACGTAAGTTGATTCATTAATAGATTTGATCTTTGCTTTCGTGGAGCTCACCAGTCCGAGAGGGGAACTGAAAACACATCATCACCTAGATGTAAATTGAGGGGCGCCTGGGTGGCTCAGTTAGCTGAATGCCCGACTCTTGATCTCAGCTCAGGTCTTTTTTTTTTTTTAAGATTTTACTTATTTATTTGACACAGAGAGAGCACACAAGTAGGGGGAGTGGGAGAGGGAGAAGCAGGCTCTCTGTTGAGCAAGGAGCCCAATGTGAGGCTCGATCCCAGGACTCTGGGATCATGACCTGAGCCGAAGGCAGACGCTTAACCGACTGAGCCACCCAGGTGCCCTTCAGCTCAGGTCTTGATCTCAGGGTCATGAGTTTGAGCCCTGCTTTGGGTTCCCTGCTGGGCATGGACCCTACTTAAAAAAAAAAAAGATGTAAATTGCAAAATGTGTGCTTGAAGGAGAGAAATAGCTCTAACGAAGGAGCACAGTGGGGTGAAAGTAGGGCCCCCGGAGGTCTGAAGGAGGTCTTTGAGCCAGATCTAAGGGTGAGAAATAGCCAGCCAGTGCCCCCACAGGGTGGAAACGAGAACATTATGGGTAGACTGAACAGCGTATGTTACGGTTCCGAGGGAGAGACCTTGGAGAGGTGAAGACATTGGAGGCCGACTGAGGTGAGGGCTCGGGAGTGGCCACTGGTGAGGCTGGAGGGGCCCCGCCGGCTGTGAGCCTTCCTGCAGAGCTTGCTTTTCAGTCCGAGTGACCACTGGAATGTCTCTTTCGTAGCGTGTCTATATTATGTATCTATGTGTTCTGTTACACGTAGTTATGTGTCACAATAAAAAGGTAAAAGCAAAATGTTAGATAGTGGCTGAGGGGCAGTTTGGGAGCGCGGGGACCAGCACCGCGCAGGGCTGGGTACCCAGCCAGGCACCCAATGCTTATTGGCTGATGGATGTGCACCACTGGCCTTCTGCCCCCCTGGGCCACTTTGTACCCTTCGTGAAACACGGTGCTAACTTTTGTGAGCATCAGAGGCCTGCCCCATAGGACTGGTGGCCGTGGGACTCACGGTGACCTGTGTGCTTGCTGCGTGCTTCCAGGTAACAGCAGTGAGTGCCCCGCTCCTGGCAATGCTGCAGATGACACGGTGTGCTTGGACCTCGGCAAGTGTAAAGATGGGAAGTGCGTCCCCTTCTGTGAGAGGGAGCATCGGCTGGAGTCCTGTGCGTGTAACGGTGAGCACATGTCCGTGCTGCGTCCTTGCAGCAGGAGGGGAGATGGTCTGTGTCTGCCAGGCCCCGTCCCTCTCCGGGAGCCCAGCAGTACTCACTGCTCACTGCTGGCCGGGGCGGTGGGGAGAACCCAGACAGGGTTGGGAGGAGGGCAGGGTGGTCGGTGAGAACTCTCTGGCCTCAGATCCTGGCTCCTCCGTCTTGTCTGTGAAAACTGGCGCGTCGGTCTTCCTTCTTCATTTTCAGACCATGGGGCCGGCTTAGGGGTGGGAGAGGAGGGAATGTGGTTGCGGTTGGGTGGGTGGATGGAGGTCTGTCCTCGCTGCACCCCGCCCGCCGTGTCTTAAACACCATGAAGGCAGGGGGGCCGTCTGCAGCTCACCGGCCGTGAGCTCGCACGCTCCTTCAGGACCTCAGCCAGAGAGCCCGCTCCAGGGTCTGACCCTGCCTGTCAGGGTGTTTGCTGTTGTCGCCAGGGTTGAGCCCGCTGCCCTCCGCTCCCTGCCAGATGTCTGGGGCAGGGGCCTCGCCTGGTGGTGGTTGGTGACATCATGCTGGCTTCTCAGACTTGTCCTCAGGTTTCCACCTTCTCTTTTTGGAACTCCTGGGTCTGAGAAGGGGCCTCAGGGACTGCCTGGGCTCCAAGCTTCCCGCCCTGCCTCACCTCAGGAGAGTTCTGTTGCTTTCACAACACCCCAGAAGTGAGAGCCGCTAGGTTGGGGACTCCCCATGTGCACAGTGGAGGAGGCGGCTCTTCCCGGGGGGACAGCACGTAAATACGGAAGATGACACACAGTAGATGCCAAATAAGTAATTTCCCAAGTGAGTGGCAGGAGGCTGGCGATGCCCTGGAGACACACACAGTAAATGCCCAGGAAATGCTTGATCAATGAATGAATGAGGAAAAGGTTTTTCTTTTCCCATTAAAGTGGTTTTGCTGGTTTTTGTGTTCTAGTTGATTTCAGTTTCTCCCAAGTGTAGCTATGGACTTCCTCTGGGTCACGTACTGTCCGGAGTTACGTTGCCAGTTGACTTTTTGGGCATTTCTGCTGTTGGTGTGCGTGCCACGTGGCTTATGTGATCCCCAGTTGGTTCCGTGACCCCACGTGCCGTGGGCGGTAGGTCTAGATGGAGGGCGTCTTGGTTCGGCTGCTGTGCATCTTGCGGCGGCCCCCCTCCCGTCCGCGCTGGGCTGTCCTGTCCTGTCGCAGCTCTGCTGGTTCTCCCTGGAGACTTGGTTCCCCACGGGTGTATTTGAAACGGAGACGCCAAGGGTTGAAATCAGCAGGGTCGCAAGAACGTTGGGATGAAGGGAAACATTGAGTATCATAAAGGACTTGAAGTAGAATACTTTGGCTTTTAATCTGTTAAAGGAAACTCTTTGGTGTAAATTGTTTTTACCTTGTGGCCTCTCTGAGGACCAAGGAGCCTGAACTCAGAAGTTAGTCTTTGGGGGTGAATGAGGGATAGGTTGCTATTGAAATGAAACATAAATGCATTTCCTTTCCCGTTGGGAGCAGGGTGGGGAGGAGGGGCGGGAAGGAGGAGCGTTGTGCCTGCACTCCAGCTGTCCATACGCTCCCTGGTTCTGTTCCAGAAACCGACAACTCGTGCAAGGTGTGCTGTAGGGACCCCTCGGGCCGGTGTGTGCCCTACGTTGACGCTGAACAGAAGAACTTATTCTTGAGGAAAGGGAAGCCCTGTACGGTGGGCTTCTGTGACATGAATGTGAGTATTTACATACGTACAGCTTTTTCTGTAACGGCCAGACGGGCAGTTTGATTTTGCCAGTGGAAGGGGTGCCGCCCGCCTCTGCAACCCACTGCCTGCTCTCGTGGGCACGGCTGTCTGGGGGAGGCTGTGGGGATGACCCGAGGGAAACCGGAGCGCTCGCTCTCCGCAGCAGGGGACCGAGTCCGGTGACTGGGTGGGACCTGCGGGGGCCTCTGTGGTAAAGTTGGTTCCTTTTAGGCAGTGAGTGTTAATTATTTGGTTTTCTAAACTAATTATAAAATTGACTAAGATTGTGAAGTTGCAAGTTTTGATTTTGAAACCAGTGCTGATACAGGAAAGACTAAGAGGTGGCTCGATGCACCTGCATCAGACCCTCTTATTCTCTAGAGAAACACATTTTATTCCTGCGGAGTCACAGAAGTGGATTTAAAGGCGTTAGGCCGGCTTTCCCAGGCAGTCTGGTTAGGTTCCTCCCGTTCTGTGTGCGCGTGTGCGCGGTGAGTAGAGCCCTCGCTAGAGTGCCCTGTCTTAAATTGGTTTTCGCAAGTTGCGTTTCCTGGGAATTCTAAATTCACTTATAAAAATGAACTGATTGTGGAAGTGTCAATGACAAGTATCCTACTTTCTTAAGTCGTGTGTCAAAAAATGGGTCCCCTGCAGGTTTGATGTTACGAAGCCTTCCGTGTCAGTTATTTGTACACAGCCATGCTGCTTCTAATGCAGTACTTTTCGGGGCAATGCTGTGTGTTCCCTGTTCATAGGGCAAGTGTGAGAAGCGAGTACAGGATGTCATCGAGCGATTTTGGGACTTCATTGACCAGCTGAGCATCAATACTTTCGGTAGGTGATTACCCTGGGTGTCTGTTTGCTTAGAGCTGAGCCGATTTCGGGGATGACAGGAGAGAAGTATGTTTTCAGATTAATACGCTCTAATCCTGCAGCAGCAGATGGAAATATTCACAGCTTTTGTTGAAACAACTTTGTCAGCTAAGATAAAATGGACTCCTAGCCATCCCCGTGTAGTGCGGATGCACAGATTTTCAGACAAGGAAAGTCCGTACTTTGTCAAAATACTTCTTAAAAAAATGAACACCTGACACCATAAGCATGGTTCAGTCCTGTAGGTTGTAAATCTGAATCCTATTTGATGTGGGCCTCAAAACAAACAGAAGTAGGTTTCAGATTTTGCAGAAGCAGCAATGTATTCTGTCTTGCAGGGTTCACAAAATTAGTCACAAAAATAACACCCGGATAGCAGCAGCTTTGTCCTGGTAGGCATCCTTGTGAGCAGTAGCCTTCTCTATGCTTAGTCCCTGACACCATCACTCCAGGGATCGTGTTGAGCATTGTGTGATATCTCTTCCCCACATGGATATCGGGGCTGTGTCTGGAAGAGCACCCGCGGTTTGGGGCGGTGGTCCGGGCCGCCTCGGTGGTACCACCTGGCCGGCAGTCCGTGGCATGGGACACAACGAGAATATACTAAGAGCATTCAATTTTGAGCATCTAAAGTACTTGATCAAAACATTCACTGTTTGGAATTGTTCACAGGAAAGTTTTTAGCGGACAATATCGTAGGTTCCGTCCTGGTTTTCTCCTTGATATTTTGGATCCCCTTCAGCATTCTTGTCCATTGCGTGGTAAGTTGCCAACTTGCAGGTAATGAGACATTTTATTAGAATTTTGAGCAATTCCAACCTTATAACTTTCAGAAAAGATAAAATTTGTTCTTAGCAAGATCTGACCTGATGTTTCCAGTGGCATTTTTTGGGGTTATCCCCTGAGAAAAGTTTAGCTAATTGTTTTTTAAAAGAATTATGCTTTTTATATGTGGATATTTGTTCTCATACATAATTTGAGGAATGTTATACTTCCGAGCCCAGGAGGTTGTTTCACTGGATTTGCCTAGGACCTCTGAGTGAAGCTTTGAAACAAGAGCGTTTTAGACTTTGTTATAATAGAACAAATAACCTCAGCATTCCAGAGGTGGCGCCCCTCTACCATATAGATTCCTGACCTTATTGTATGGGGTATTAAATCTAGGAGCAATCTTTATTATTCTCCTTCAAAATGAGTAACAGCTAACAAGGTGAATTGGGCTCTAATAATAACTCCACGTGATTTATAAACTTGGGGACTTTATAAAACTCATCCTTACAACTCCATTCACCTTGCTTCTGTGGGAAAATGATTTGTCTGCTGTAGAGACGAGAAATCAGACCCAGGCTTCCAGGCTTGTGCTCTGGAACTCTTGGGCAGTGCCCCCTCATGTGAGCACGTGGAAGATTCCAGCACAGCTACCTCTCAAGAGTCTTTTTTTTTTTTAAGATTTTATTTATTTGACAGGGAGAGAGAGAGAGCACAAACAGGGGGAGGAACAGAGGGAGAGGGAGAAGCAGACTCCCTGCCGAGCAGGGAGCCCAACGTGGGACTTGATCCCAGGACCCCAGGATCATGACCTGAACTGAAGGCAGATGCTTAACCAACTGAGCCACCCAGGCACTCCTTCTCAGGAGTCTTTACTTCCTCTGCTTCCTTCCCGGTTGTGCTGGGGCCCTCTCACTGAGCAGCTCTTCCTCAGGGTGGGGAGCATGGAGGGTGTGGGGAGGGAAATCTAGGGAACAGCCCTGCTAAAGCAAAGCTTGTGTTAAGGGGACACAGTAGGAGCTTTGACAGGTGGCCGAGAGTGCCACCAATTACTGTTGTTTTTACTGGCGAGGCCAATCTACTTTGCGTTGCAAGTTGCCATTGTGGACTGAGGCCTGACCCTTGGTTTTGGAGCAAAGCCGCTAGATAGGAGGGAGGGTGGTGCCCTGTCGCCGACCACAGAATGTGTGGGGGCAGCTGAGCTGGAAGCCAGGCCTAGAGTTTCGGGCTCCGCCTCCTGCCTTGCCCATAGTCCTCTGTTCCACGTTGGGATGGAAGCAGGTGTTCAGCCTTCTGCGGAAGTGTGATGGAGGGACTTCAGGCTGTTCCTCTAAGAATTTGGGCCACAGTAAACTCTGGAAACAGCTGAGTGTTGAGGCCATGGCGGGCTGGGGCATTTGGACGCCAGCACCAGGTGGACTGCCCGCAGCGTCCTTGACCCCCGGCAGCTGCCCCTGTGGTCAGCACTGCCCTGGTCTGACCCCTGCACACACAGGGACGTGCCTTTGGGGAAATCTCCCAGGAGAATTGTCCTTAAGCGTTCCCTGACTGGTTCCTTACTCGTGAAGTTTCCGTGAGAAAGTCTTCTCCTCTACTGCACCTGCTACTACTTGCCACACTCATGTTCTGAGGTGGTTCTTCGCTTAGGAGGAGCCTAAAGGGAGAGAGTGTGTAACTGAATTATTTGTAAGAATGACCTTTGCCTACTTGTTTTCCTTCTAGGATAAGAAACTGGACAAGCAGTATGAGTCTCTGTCTCTGTTCCACCCCAGCGTAAGTACCCGTGTGCAGCAGTTCCTTCCAGGGCCTCCGGGTGGCCACCTCAGCGAGGGCTGGCAGCCCTTGCGGCTGTGCTGCCTTGGGCTGGTGGGAGGTCCTGTTGCAGTGGGAAGGCTCTAGGCTGGGACCTCCGTCGGTTGTGCAGATGGAGGTTTAAAGAGCTGCTCTGCCCTCTGCCCTCTGCCCCCTGCCCCCCGGCCCCCCGGCCCCGATTGAGCTGTTCCGCGCTGACCTAATTTAATGTTTGGAGAACTTTCCCTGTCTTGGGATCCTGACTTGATAGGATTGTTTCTTGGGAGTGCTCTTTTGGGTCTTCAAATGGCCAGTTGTCAGGACATGTGGAAGGTGGGGGAGCCTCACCTCATGCTTTGCTTAGCGCGAGGGGGTCATGGTGCCCAGACTGTAGACGTGGGGGTGGGGTGGGGGGGGGGAGGTTGGAACTGTAGGACCTGGATCCGTCTTTGACTCCGTGTCTTTGCAGAACGTGGAAATGCTAAGCAGCATGGACTCGGCCTCGGTTCGCATCATCAAGCCCTTTCCTGTGCCCCAGACCCCCGGCCGCCCGCAGCCCCTGCAGACCGCCCCTGTGCCGCCCGTACCCGCAGCTCCCAAACTGGAGCCCCAGCGAATGGACACGATCCAGGAGGACCCCAGCACAGACTCGCACGTGGATGAGGACGGCTTCGAGAAGGATCCCTTCCCCAACAGCAGCAGTGCCGCCAAGTCCTTTGAGGACCTCACGGGCCGTCCGGTGACAAGAAGCGAGAAGGCCGCCTCCTTCAAGCTGCAGCGTCAGAACCGCGTGGGCAGCAAGGAGACCGAGTGCTAGGCTGGGCTTCCTGAGCGCGGGCTTCAGCACGCACAGGGTTTTTGTACGACGGACTTGAAATCCCTGCGTCCATTTTGTGAAGCTTTGGGAGAAATAAGGGACTTCACAGCAGATGCTGGTCATGTGTTTGGACTCCTTCACACACACAAATACTTGTGTGCTTAGGCCCTTGTCCTTTGGAAGAGGTAAGGTGAATCTAGCTTATTTTGAGGCTTTCAGGTTTTAGTTTTTTTGGCTTTCAAAATACCCTTCAACCTGTGGTGCAAAAGCAGAAAATACAGCTGGATTAGGTTATGAATATTTACATTTTTGTAAATTGACCTTTTTATTGAGAATAGCACTGATTAAGGAGATGATCAATTTTTTGTTTTTTATTTTATATACACTGTAATGATCCGCTGACTATCAGGAGGCATTTAGCAGTTACTTGTGAGGATAACTGGAACACAGATTTTATTTTTTGCCTTCAGGTAAAGACAAAGGAGAGAAAACGGAGTTACACATTCTTTCCAAAGTGTGGGTTCTGTTTTTAGGCATTACCCAGAGCTTTTAGCAGCAGGGAGAATCACCCAGCTTATTCCCAAAGATAGATGTGTTAATACGGTTTTTCGGATTCTAAGAATTAAAACACAATCTAGCTTACAGGTAGCCAAATTGAATTTACAGAATCCTGCCAACTGCTCAGGGCCCCAATGTGCCCGGCAGTTTTTGTTTTCTAAGTTTATCTAGTACTGTTGCCGTGTTCGTAAAGGGCTCGCCATTCACAAAACCGAAACAACTTCAAAATGAGAGCATGGTTTCCTAGTGGCCAAGAAGTACGTGAGCTAGTTCTCCCCAAAGAACGGTGGCCTTGAAAGGCCGAGGCGTTGTGCTGAGCGGGGGGCGGCACGCTGCCTCTCTCGGGCCTGCGGCTCCCCCCCCCCCCCCGCCGGTTCCTGAAAACCCCTGGTGGTGACCTGGAGGTGGACCCTGCATCCCTTCTTGCTTTAGTGCTTTGGGACTGTGTGCATTTACTTTGTGAAGGATAAAAATCATCAAATTGAACTCTGATTTCCTTAAAATTATAGTTAAAAGCTTTCCCCTCCCCAAGTACTGAAATGTGCTCATAGCCAACACATTCTAACGGAGATAATTTGTAAATTTTGAGGGCAATTAACTGAACCTGTGATAAATCGAATCTTTCCTTCTAAGGACGTTTCTTATGCAGATGCCTGTTACACTAATACTTGAACTTATACCTTGTGGTGTTTGCTGTCTTAACTAGTCCTGATACAGTTTAGTTACACTTTCAGAATCTGATAGAAGGTGAGTGGGTGTATGTGAGAGTGAACAGTTCCCAGCTCAATGTAAGAAAACTTTTTTATAAAATTGTGACTTTTTAAACAAATTTGTCTTTACCTTTTTTCCACGTATAAACAAGCCGCCCAGGGCTGGTTCCGTAGCTGGGGCACTGAGGACACCTGCCTCGGTCAGGTATTACCACACAATGTACCGAGGTGCAGAGCTCCCCTGAAAATTCTAACGTTTTTATTAATCTCGGTGGCAGAGGTTCAGTGGTTTTTATTCCAAGGTCCTGAGCAAAGGTCTGATCACTTATCTCGGGATCTCTGCCGCATGGTTTTCGGCGGCTAGCGGTCCCCATTTCCCAGAAGACTCAGTTCCGGTTTGGCTTCTGCTACGTCTCGCCAGTACGGGAGCAGCAACGGCAAGGACGAGACTTTCTTCTCTATCAGGGGCCAAAGGTGGGAGAACAAAAACTCATTTCCCTTTGGTGACAAGTGCAGTCCATCCGACAGATAGGATGAGAAGTCCTGCAAGGGAGGAGAGCACAGTTAAACTGGGGGGGCCCGCTGGTCGCCACCCCTTTGTGAGGTGCGGGCTCGCTGCCCGGTACGCACTGGGCGCCGTGAACCGCGTACCATCCGGCGCCCACCTGAGCCATCCTTCCAGCTCCTCCCGACGGCAGAGGCCGAGCAAGTGAACACGGTGCATTAACAGAAACTCGACCTGCTGGTAGAAGAGCCCAGGGCCCTGGGTGCCACACGGTTTCTGACTCCCCCGGTCTAGCTAGGAGGCGGACGGGCGGGTCGTTAGGTGGAAGGAACCCCGAGGAGCAGCCTTTGCCCTAAGCCGAGCCCCCGTCCCTGCGGCCCAGCTGGTCCACAACTCTGCCAGACCAGGGCCTCCCCAGGCCTCGGTGCTCCTCTCTGCCATTTTGGAGACGATCTCTCAGGAAAGCCCACCCCCACCCCCCATTCTAGAAATCTCAAAGGACACAGTAGCGGGCAGTTCCCTTTTCTGGAGCAGTATAGCCTTCCCAAACTTCCTGGATGGACGTTCAACCCAGACGAAGCCAGGACTCTGCATGCTGTCCCCTGCTGCTCCTGGCCTGGGAAACCACAGGAGGGCTGAAGCGCGGGGGCTGCTGGGTCCTGTGACCCGTAACTACAGGAAAGCGTCAGACTGCCTTCCTCGTACCGCTCTGCGTGGGGGCCAGCTTTCACCTTTTATAGTTGTAAGTGGGCTTTCTGGCTTTAAACAAAATATTTAGAACTACCTAGCTCAAGCCAGGATTTTTAGCTACCACCCTGTCTTGCTTAAATTCATCGTTGTCCCTTTTAATAAGTTTTACAATAGGGGGTGGGAGTGCTAAAAGAATTTGGCCTGAATGTCCTTAATATGAACCATTTTTGGCTCATTTATTTCACTCTGTGCTCACTCCTGACTGTTCAAGGGGTCCCGGAGAAGGATGGCAGCTGCTGGGTCCAGCAGAGGAACCAGGCCAGGCAAGCCCCCTCCCCCCTCCCCCCTCCCCCCCTCCCCCCAGCTTTCTGGTTTAATCGGTGAAAGCAACAAGGGTCGTTGCTTTACTCAGAGCCACTCTAGGCAGAGCCACACAGAGCGGGGTCCCGTCTGTCGGATCCTGCTCACCCCAAGGCCCGAGCCAGCCCCGTACCTGAGAGTCCTTCTGCATCAGGGTCCACAGGTCAAGCACATCGACCCCACAGTCTTGGGCTACCTGTAAGCAGGCGCCCGCGTATTCGCCAACAACCGAGTTCAGACGATTTAATTTGCAGCCTGTTGAGAGAGCGCGTGGGTGGCAGCTGGCCTGGGCCGGCCATGCTTGGTGCACAGGCACGGACCGCCGGACCCGGTTGGGGGACGATGGTCCCCGTGTGCTGCGCTACCCGGCACGGGACCATGGGGACGAGGGGACGGTGGCTGGTCACCGCAGGGGACACGGAACGGAAATGCAGAGGCAGGAGAGGCCGGCGGCAGCCGTCGGGACCCAGAGGCTAGGAAGGGGGACGCCGGGCCGAGACCCCTGAATCTGGATGTGAGGAGAGGCCCCCGCACTGGAGTGAAGCTCACTGGGGTTCAGCCCGAGAAGGGCAGAGCCGGGAGGGGCTGCGGAGGCTCATTCTCCGCAACTATCGTGGGCTGGGCGGGCGGCTCCCTCCCCGCCACCGGTGCCGAGGCGGAAACGGACGGGCCTGTCTTCCCGAGAACGTCCTCGCAGCCTGTGGCTCGGGAACCGGGCTGCTGAACCGTCTGTGGTTCTCCACCGGGCCTCCACCCACGTCTACGGAAGTGAAACAAGTCTCACGAAACAATGCCTACTGTGCCCCAGATCCTGATTTTTTTCTATTCCATTCAAAAAAAGGTCACTCGCTCGGTTTCATGAGCCCCGAAAGGGTTGTGGCCTGTGGTCTGCGAAGCGCTGCCGAAGCTCTAACTGGCACTCTGCTCGTCCAGGCTTAGCACAGACTTGCGAGCTCACAAGCCCTCACAGGAGGATGGCCGCTGGGGGGTCCCCGCTTTGCCCTCCGGAGCAAACGACAGGGCAATTCGTCCACTTCCCGCGACTGCCCTTCAGATGTCTGCCGCCAGCGGGCCTGGCCCCTTCCTCCCTATCTGTCCTCTTCTTCAGGGTAAACTTGCCCTATTTACCTCCTATGGGGAACTTTCTGGACACCTCAAGATTCTGCTTCTGTACTTTCAACAGACTGTTTCAATATGTCTGTTAGACCGTTAATCACATTGTGGCAAGTTATCTATTGACGAGCCCACTGCCCTCCCTAGTGCAACAGGCAGGTACTGGGTTCCGGGGCACCCGGCCAGGTCCTGGCTTAGCACCTAAAAGTACAAGGACGAACAGCGGTGGCGACAAAAGTGCCTCCCGGTGCGGCCGGGCAGAAACCTGGCGCTGGCAGGCGGAGAGCTGCGCCTGCGGAGGAGCCCGCGGTCGGGGAGGAGGAGGAGGGGTGCCGGCACAGGGCACAGGCAGGGCTGCGCGGACAAAGGGCAGAGCAGCGGCCTCGGCAGCTCGCACTGCTGGGAGGCCCGGGGGACGCCCCCACGTGTGGACGTCGGGGTCCCAGCCCCGCGCCGCAGGCTGTCGGACTCGGCCGCGCTTGGGGTCCGGCGGGAGCAGGCCACGCCGCCCCAGCCACGGCGAGTCCCGCGCCCGGCCGCGGGGCGCCCCCAGGCTCGGTGTCCTCACGGGCCCGGAAGCCGGCGCGCATACCTTGCAGGAGGCACTCCTGCTCCCAGGCGGCCTCACAGAGCGGGGGCGGCGTGATGAGGACGACGCGGCTGCGGGGGACGCCGGCCTCCTGCAGGTACCCCACCATGCTCTCTAAGTTGGCCACGTACTCGGCCAGCGGGATGTGTTGCTTGGGGTTCTCGTCTGTTCGGGAGGAACACGGATACTCCAAATGCACCTTGTTACGAGGGAGCGCAGTTAAGAGTAAGACGAGTTCACAGATCCGCGGGACTCCTGATGGCGCCGGGCAGGCTGAGCCCCGAGGACAGAAACGGGGGCGGGGGGCGCAGGACCCGGCTCTTCACACGGCGGACGTCACACCGCAGACCGCCGAGGCTCCCGCTGGCCACGAGTCTGCGGCCGCGCGCCATCCGAGCCGGGGCCCTGGCACACACGCTCGACCTTCCCCGGGCTTTGGTCTCCTCCCTGGTAACACGCCGATAACCGGCTCTCCCTGACGGGTGTGGAAGGGACCTCGGCGAAGCGTGGGAGGCACTAGAGCAAGGCGCCACCACACCGGAAGCACTCGCTCTTGCCACCACTCCCGCCGAGCCTGCAGAGGGTCATTCCTAACGGGCTCACAGGCAAGTATCCCAAGACTCACTGCAGCCATTTTCCAAGCCACATGTAAGTATAATCGTAGGAGCAAAATAAAATCACCCGTGATCCTACCACCCAGAACACCACGGGTGGCACTTGGATCTACTTCTCATCTTTTCCATGTTGATACGTATACTTTAAGCGTCTGCCTTCGGCTCAGGTCATGATCCCAGGGTCCTGGGATCGAGCCCCACATCGGGCTCCCTGCTCCGGGGGAAGCCTGCTTCCCCCTCTCTCGCTCCCCCTGCTTGTGTTCCCTCTCTTGCTGTGTCTCTGTCACATAAATAAAATCTTAAAAACAAAACAAAACAAACCTACAAAGATCTTTGTTCTTATGGAGCTCACATATTTAAAACACACACACACACTGGGATGACAATGAAGATACATAACCATACTGTTCTTTTTTCACATAATGTTATATTATGGGCATTTCTGTGTCCATTAGTAGCCCTCAAAAACATGGTTAGTTGTTGCGTGACCAGCTTGATGCGTCTACTTTACCACATGGCACCCTAATGCCTGCCATTCCAAATACCATCCCAGGCATCTGCACATCTGCCTGCTGCATTACTGAGTATTAGGCTGGATTTCTAGATGGGGTGCATGCCGTCAAGTATCTTTCCGGAAAGATCACAAGTTTCCCCACCAGTTACGGAAGAGCGTGCCCATTTCACTCCACACTCAGCAGCTCTAAGTATTAGTGCTTAAAAAATACTTTCCAGGGTGCCTGGGTGGCTCATTCGGTTAAGTGCCTGACTCTTGGTTTCTGCCAGGTCGTGATCTCAGGATCGTGAGATCGGGCCCTGTGTCGGGCTCACCCGCTGGGTATGGAGCCTACTTAAGATTCTGCCTCTCCACGGCGCCTGGGTGGCTCAGTCAGTTAAGCATCTGCCTTTAGCTCAGGTCACAATCCCAGAGTCCTGGGATCAAGCCCCACATCAGGCTCCCTGCTTAGTAGGGAGCGTGCTTCTCCCTCTGCCCCTCACCCTGCTTGTGCTCTCGCTCTCTCTGCGCCGCCCCCCCCCACATGTGTGTGGTCACGCTCTCAAAACAAAACACAGCTAAAGATGAATTAGGAAAACAAGAATGCTTTTACCTTTCAGCGCACTGTCATTGGCACCAAAGAAAATTGTAACTGCTACTGGGCTGTCCAGACTGTTCCCTTTCCTGATTAATCTTGGAAGGATGATTTTGGCCCATCTGGTATTGTAACCTGAAAATCCACGATTCAGAACATCACATTTTCTGAAATGAAGAATTTAAAAAAAAAAGATGAATTGTGAGCAAAGAACGGTTTCTAGTCCATCAGCAGTGAACCCCCAAGTGTGTGCCCTCCAGGCTGTGGGACCTGCTGATGTTGTGCAGCTCTGATGTACTTTCACTTTGTTTAAAGTTTATTTCAGTCATCTCTACACCCAACGTGGGGCTTGAACTCATGACCCCGAGATCAAGAGTCGCAGGCTCTTCGGACTGAGCCAGCCGGGCGCCTCTGCCATGCTTTCACTTGGAGAAGAGCATTAACGTAGTTGAACATGCTGTCCTTAAAGTCTTTCCAAGATCTAGGTCATCTTTCCTTGACAAAAGGGGTTATGAATAGCCGAGCAAAGGGGCCGGCATCACGTCTGCGGACTCGCGCGTGGCAGGGGCTGGGGTCCTGTCACAGGGTCCTCACAGCAGACAGGTGTTAATCTGAGCAAGCATCTTGGGTGGAAAGTCACTAACAAGCTGGAGCTCAAGGGTAACAACGGTTCGTCAGCGGGGGGAGAGGGTATCTATACAGAAGATTTCTGAGACTTTTTACAGACTTGAGGCATTTTAGGGGTGCAGCAAATCGAAAGGAACACAGAGCTCCTGCATACTCCTGCCCCCCACATGCAGAGCCTCCCCAACTATCAACAGCCCCCCGTCCCCGAGAGGCACATTTGTTGTAGGTGATGAACCTACACTCACACATCATTCTCAGTATCCCCCCATGGTTTTGATTCAATCACATATATACACACACACACACACACGTATGTATATATAGTGTTTCAGTATATTTTGCCTTCTTAAAAACGCATGGTTTGATTCGCAGTACTGTAGGCTACAAGGAAAAGACCATGGATCTTGAGCTAGTTGCCTGGATTTGTGTCCCTGTTCCTTTACTTAGTGGCCGGGACCCCTGGTGTGTTTGCAGACGCTTAAAGTTGTCCATAAAATTTTAAAAACCCCTCAGAGTCCAACTTCTGGTTAGCAAACCGACGTGGCTTACTTCGGTGTATAGTTCCCATTCCTACATCTCAGCAGAGAACACGGGCCTACAAGGCCAGGGAACAGAGGCTGAGACAACCGGAGACTTGGTTTGCTGCTACTCGAAAAGCTCTGAAAATGTTTAAATCTTGGGGACAACAATAACAAAATTCAGCCACATTTATTTCTAAGTGTGATTTCTTGGTGTTTTTCATGCATAATCGTTACAAAAAGCTGACTAGCCATTTTAAAGACTCAATTTAAATGGAATACTCTTGGGGCGCCTGGGTGGCTCAGTTAGTTAATCGTCCAACTCTTGATCTCAGCTCAGGTCTTGATCTCAGGGTCATGGGTTTAAGCCTGTGTTGGGCTCCATGCTGGGCATGGAGCCTACTTAAAAAAAAAAAAAAAAGAATACCCTAGAATTTTGATGAGTCTGTTTTACATTCCCTCCAATGGTTTACTCACTGCAATGCTTAAAAAACCAGAAGGCAAGGCAGCTTGCTCCCTAAGGCCTGTGTGATGTGGCAGGAAAGCTGAAAGTCTGGAATCAGAGCAGCCAGGGTCTGGACCTCCCTGCCCTTGACTACCAGATCTGGCCTTGGCCATTTACCTAATTTCTCTGAGCTTCAGGCTCCCCAACTGCAAAAGATGAACATAATACCTAATCTGCTAGGCAGTGTGAAGATTAAAAGTAACCAGACACACATAAGGAGCTCAATAAACAGCAGCCATTACATATTGAAAAAAAAAATCATTAGTATAAGGCTATGAACTAGGAAAAAAGTGCGAGTGAGTGAGGCCCAGGGTTGAAACTGTTACAGTTCCCTTCTGAAAGGGGAAGGCTAACTGAATTTCTCTGGCTTGAACAGTATCATTAATAGTGCCCAACTTATTCCAAAGGCTACAGAAACTGGCACATTAAGAAAGACTTTTAGGGGCGCCTGGGTGGCTCAGTTGGTTAAGCGTCTGCCTTCGGCTCAGGTCATGATCCCAGGGTCCTGGGATCGAGCCCCACATCGGGTTCCCTGCTCAGCAGGGAGCCTGCTTCTCCCTCTCCCCCTGCTTGTGCTTGCTTTCTATCAAATAAATAAGAAAAAAGAAAGACTTTTACTTAAATTCATGGCTAATAACAAGTATTTAAGTTCAGATGAAGAGGGAAAGGGTAAGAACGAACTGAAAGATTCCTTGCCGAACAACCCAGCTCCAGGAGATTGCCTTCCAGAAACAATGTAGATTAAGCCATTTTATAAACCAGGCAGGGGCCTATCTTTAAAAGCAAACAGCAGAAGCTTTTAAAAACTGAAAAAGCTGAGTTTATTCTAACTCCTTTAAGTCCTTAAAGTATTTTAAAGAAATACTGCGATAAGGCTAAAAAAAACCAATGAAAATATGTCAATAAATTTTAAAAGGATTTAAATAGATTTAAGAATTATTAAAATGCTTTTATAATGCTAAAACGTAAAAGATGTCCCTATGGGACACAATGATGTATTTTAGATTACTATCCATGTAGTTACAGTGAGGTACCTCTTTACAACTTGGAAACTGGGTTACATTTAACACTGAATCGGTCCACCTGAAACCAACATAACACTGTATGTTAATTACACTTCAAAAAAAAAAAAACCCCAAAGGGCTGTGAATCAGTTCAGGGCTGTGCAGATGGCTGAAGCTGACATTAAAAATTCACGGGGGTGGGGGTGGGGGTGGGGGTGGGGGTGGGTAGGGAGGGGCTCAGGTGGTTCAGTGGGTGGATCTTCTGACTCTGGGTTTCCCCTCAGGTCCTGATCTTGGGGTTGTGAGATCGAGCCCTGTCCCTGCCCCTCCACATTCAGCGGGGAGTCTGCCTGTGCCTCTCTGCCCCTCCCCCCACTGGCGCATTCTCTCTCTGCAATAAATCTTTAAAAAGAAAATTCACCCTAAGTGTTCACACAGCTGAAGAAAATGTCCACCTAAGGGGCAGCTGTTTGGCGGTGGAAGAGGAAGAACCCAGTTCCAGCGCTAAAAAAGGACGGTGGATGTAACTGCCTGGTCTCTCGGCCCCCAGTACCAGTCAGCGCCAACCACAGCCCCCTAGTTTGCCCGGCGGTTCAGGACCACGGGCTCTGGAGCCGGGCCACCTGCCACTTCTTAGCTAAATGACCTTGTCAAAACCCCTCTCCACCTCATTCTTCTCAGCTAGAAGATGGATCGGAGACTCACTCTCTGTATTACAGGGTAGTTGTAAAGATTAAATGAGTCAATACGCATAAAGCATTTTAGTTTCTGGCACTTGGTAAGCATTCAGTAAAACTTAGCGACAATCCTTCCGTTTTACAGAAGGGAAAACCGGTGATACTTTCATATTTCTAGATTAAGTCCACTTAAATAGGGAAAGCATTTGGGAACAGAAAAAGCCAAGTCAAATTTTTCATTTCTAGTTTAGGGGATAAAAATGAAGGAGAAAGTGAAGACATTTTAAAACACATTTCACATTTGGAAATAAAATATATTTTCTTGGTGTGTTTATTATACTGGTGAAGAAATTATCAAGTATTAATAAGCTGGTAGTACATCCAGCTTATTTCTTCTAAAGGAGAGACAAAACTCCTGACCAGTATACTGATACTCTAAATACTTGTGTTTACTGTTTTTAATGTGGAAAATATTTCTAAGTATTTTTTAACCTCTTGAATTGGAGCAGTGTTTCCCTTTTGATGACTTCCTTAGCATATGCTTACCTTAAGTCTGGCAAATAAAATGCCCAAATCATCACTATTTCTAATATATATATATTTTAAGATTTTATTTATTTGTTTGACAGAGAGAGACACAGCGAGAGCAGGAACACAAGCAGGGCGAGTGGGAGAGGGAGAAGCGGGCTTCCCACTGAGCAGGGAGCCCAAAGCGGGGCTCCATCCCAGGACCCTGGGATCATGACCTGAACCGAAGGCAGACGCTTAACGACTGAGCCACCCAGGCGCCCCTATTTCTAATACATTTCATAGAGAGAATTTGGGGGACAAAAACCTCTATCCAAAAATGATGCTAACTTTGGTTTATGAATATACTTTGCTTTCTTTCAATCGAATTCCTTACTACTCGTTTAAATCATATCCACAGTAATACCTGCAAAAAAAAAAACTTCCTCAGATGGTGAATAACTGTGTTTGTTTGGCTCCAAACCCAGTATCTTTTCCACAACTTTTAGGGTTTTATTTCACATCCAGCAGAACTTTTGCTGAATCCTGAGCACCTGCCCTTCCTCCTTCCCTCCCCCAACCCTGTACACTAACCGGGAAAGGCCCACAAAGATGAAGAAAGGAGGAATTTACGGTTTGAAACTGTATCATGCACTCTGTCTTCTGAGATGCAGTTATAGTTTTCCATCAATAAGCACTCGAGTATCAATCTAGAAACTATTCTCACCTGACCAGCCTGTCAGCCAGTGATGCTCCCCATCCACCCTGCTGGAAAGAAAACTGAAAAAGGAAGAGTCCATTACTACTTATCGATGTAATTAGCACACTTTAGAAAGGGACATTTTGGTCATCAACTCCTTTTGTTTTCCTCTCATCCCCCCTGACTTTTTGGCCTTCATCATTTGCTTCGCTCAGAGGTCATTTTAGGAATTACTACAGCTAAACCTCAGCAGCACTCTGGGAGTTAGAGGGAGTTTTCTTCCCTATCAATTGGATTTGAGCCAGTCATCTGCATTTTATTGAGAATATTAGAGTCATTTTTACTTAGAACAGCTACTTAAATTTATGTACAAGAGATAAAATCAATTGTATGTTCAGTTAGGAAGCGAGATCCATGCTGTACCACATTTCCATACTTGAAAAGAATAAGGAAGTTAATTACAGAATTCAGGCGGTGAACCTTTTTTAAATATACATTCCTATAAGTTTGGAAAGCCCTTACTGCCCTTCTTGCCTAAAAATGGGCACAAACACAGAAAACTGGTTGAGGAAGTCATGTCTGAAGAGACAAATAAGAAAACAAACGAACACAAACACCACGGGAGTAATTTTTTTAAAGTGTTCTTCCTCCCTGAAGTAGAACATACATTTTTCCTTAATATGGGTTGAAATGATCGTGGGTGAAAAGGTCACCTACTACGTTATTCTTGGGGACATTTTGTCCAAGATCAGCTTGTTCGGCCAGGGGAAGCAGAGGGAGCTGGTTCCCAGTGGAACGGGCTGCACAAACCCTCAGCAGGTGGTTCAGCCGCCACCGCGCTCCCGCAGGTGACCCTCCCCGGAAGCGCCGCGCGGGACACAACGTGCCGCGTGCTGCGAGCGACCAAAGGAGGTTTCGTGGAAAAGGAAGACTCTAAGATGAAGACACCGCGCCCCTACTTGTACAGGTCTCCCGACTCGCCCTAAAACTGACGGGAAGCCGGGAACTCGGGCTCTGTCACGCCCAGGGCGCGCGGCCTGGGCCGGTCACCTCACTTCGCGGCTCCTCACCTCACCCGTGAACCAGGCTCCGCGAAACGGCTGTGCAAGCGCGGCGCCACCCTCACCGTTACCCTGAAGCCAGGAGCGACCGGAGACGGGAAGCCCTGCCGGGGGGCTCCGAACGGCCGCTGGAGGCGGCTGCTGCTGGAGGCTGCAGGCATCCCCGAACAGATCCCGCCACCGGGCGCTCCGCCTTCGGGGCAGCCCGTGCCGGGGGAGGCGGGGTGCAGGGAGGTGACCTTGATAACCGCGGGGCAGACGGGAGGACGGGAGCCCGGTGCGGAGGACAGCCGGTGAGCTGGGGCCGTGGGCGCCCAAGCGACCCGCCATGTGAGGACCGAGCGGCGGTACCTGGGTGATGGAGTCTCCGAAGAGCAACACCCGCGGCCAGAGCAGAGCGCAACCGCCGCTCGCCGCTTCGCACAGCGCCATATTGCCCGCCGGCCGAGAGGCGGGGCCAGGCCGGATATCCGGGGCGGGGCGAGCGGCCGGGGGCGGGGCCGCCCGCGGAGCTGGGGGCGGGGCCGCCCGCGGAGCTGGGGGCGGGGCCGCCCGCGGAGCTGGGGGCGGGGCCGCCCGCGGAGCTGGGGGCGGGGCCGCCCGCGGAGCTGGGGGCGGGGCCGCCCGCGGAGCTGGGGGCGGGGCCGCCCGCGGAGCTGGGGGCGGGGCCGCCCGCGGAGCTGGGGGCGGGGCCGCCCGCGGAGCTGGGGGCGGGGCCGCCCGCGGAGCTGGGGGCGGGGCCGCCCGCGGAGCTGGGGGCGGGGCGGGGCGCCTGAGCAGCGGTCGCTGGCCTGTCGTCCGCGGGGTGGCCGCCGAGGGGCTCCTCGAGCTGGGCTCCTTTGGCACCAACCGGCCATTTTTAGCACGTGCGATAGCAGTTGCCCCTTGGAAAGCTCATTTTTGTCCGTTTACGAAGCGGCCTCGCTGTTCGTTGGTTCATCCCGGCGGGGGCGGGGCGCACGCAGCCCCCTGCCCTCGGGGAGCCCGCAGGCCCTCCCGGAGGGGCGGTCTGGCCGCGCACCTCCCGGCTCCCCGGGGGCCCGAAGGGAGAGCGGTCTGGCGCCGCCACCAGAGGCAACGTCACCCTCCAGGCGGGGCCAGATGTTTCCGCAAACAGCAAGAGTGTGAAGCTCGGTGGGGAGGAAGTGCTTCCGAGGGACTCGTTCATCACACGGCCATCTCTCGTTAAATAGACGGACTCAGGCATTTATCGAAGGTTTGGACCTCAAAGAAAAACTTAAGACGTTTGCTGAAGACAGGAAGGCAAACTATTCAAGGACGAAGATGGGGTTTTGCAGGAGGGGAGAGAAATTAGGAAAGGTGGGGATCCACAGCCGAGGAGCAGGGTGGAGGGTAGAAGGATGTACAGTTTCTAGAAACCGGACTCTTGCTGAAGGCAGGCCAGGGTGGTAAGATACCAGGCAGGGGGATGAGGAAGTTGAGCAGGTAGCCAGCAGGACTCTCGAGGGGCCAAGGGCAGAGCCAAGGTGGGGGCCTACTCCCAGGAGCTCCAAGACTCGTTTGCTCAGAGTCCTCGCCACCTCAGCTGTGCCATGAAGTATGGCGGCTGTGACTAAAATGGGCCAGATGTTTTGAAAAAACTGAGCCTAAGGCGAAAACCAGACTCGCAAGGGTAGCAGTGCACCATGGAAAAGCTGACCTACCTCGCTGTGGCTGGGCCGTAAGGTGTCGGCAGAATGGCTGGAGCCGGAGAGACAGGTAGTGGGAGGCAGAGCCAAGTCTCCAGGCCAGGAGCTCCCTGGCTTCGAGAATCATCTGCGGAGCTTTAAGAATGTGCTGATAAAGGGCCCTCACTCCAGACCAACGAAGTTAACTCCTGATGGTAAGATGTGGGCCTCCGTATATTTTTGCTGCTCCCCAGGTGACTCCAGCATGTAGCCAAGGTTGAGAACACCTGGCTTAGTTAGGATGTTTGGACTTGATCCTAATTACAATGAAGCCCTGAAGGACTTTCGGTAGGGAAGGCCTGAGAGCAGGTCTGTGTATTTCAGGGAGGAGGAGCAGGGACGCTGTGGCAGGAACCAGAGGGCACAGGGTGACTGGGACTCAGAGCCACCGTGGAGAGAAGACAAGGGCAGACTCAAGAGCAACTGGAATCCTTAACTCAAATTGCTTACCTCAGGGAGAGGGACCAGGGGAAAAAGCACATTCCCTTTTTACTATATATATATAGTCTTATTAAGATATTACAGGTATGGGGGCGCCTGGGTGGCTCAGTCGTTAAGTGTCTGCCTTCGGCTCAGGTCATGATCCCGGGGTCCTGGGATCGAGCCCCACATCAGGCTCCCTGCTCCGTGGGAAGCCTGCTTCTCCCTCTCCCTGCCTCTGCCTACTTGTTCTCTTTCTCTCTCTCTGTCAAATAAATAAATAAAAATCTTAAAAAAAAAGATATTACAGGTATGTATTTTTTGTTACTTAAAAATGTTTTTAAATCTCTCAAAACCGGGGTGCCTGGGTGGCTCTGTTGGTTGAGCGACCGACTCTTGATTTCGGCTCAGGTCGAGAGATCGAGCCCCACGTTGGGCTCCGTGCTTGGCAGGAGTCTGCTGGGATTCTCTCCCTCTGCCCCTCCTGCTTGTTCTCTTGCTTTCTCTAAAATAAAATAAATCTTAAAAAAAAAAAATCTATCATAAAGTCTTACATGACACCAATGGTGACCCTTAGAACTTTGGTTTGGGCCAGAGACAAAAGTGGGGTAGGGTATCTTACAGAACTATTTCAAGTAAAACTTCAGATTTGTGCACTCAAGCTTGTCACAACACAGGGAAGGAGCGCTTGGTGGCTGTAAGTCACCAAGAGGTGAGGCAAGGAGAGGACTAACAGGGTCGGCGGAGTTTAGGGACTGTGGTTGGCGGACGCCTTTAGCTTGACGGTGAGTGTGAGCGACTCTCGAGTTGGGCAGGAAGGTGAGAGTGAGTTTCTGCTCGTGCTCGCCTCCCCGCAGAGGCGGCAGTCAGACCCATGCGTGGAAGCAGACCCCAAGGACACCCCGGCTGATCTGCTCCCTCAGCACGCCGCACCCCTACACTCCTGTGCCAGTTATTTGCAAGTCTGCACGCGTCTTACACACGCTTCAGGAAAATGGCCTAATGATTAATTTACACACAGAGCAATTCAACAACTCACACCTGAATCCCCTGGAACTTGCATAAAAATTATAGTCTGAATATCTCTGAATTGAATGTGAATTGAGTATCTCTGAATTGAAAGAAAATATCACTGAATCCCGAAAGTCGTAATTTTACAAATGTACAAATTAAGGAATTTGCCAAGAGTATCAGGAGGGAACAGAAACGGCACTTGAGGTGATAATCTCTATTAATTCCCTTCAGAATATGGACATAAAAATACAAACCATCATGCATTTTCTTTCCTTAAAAAGGCCACGAAGACACTGATTCAGTTGCTATGAGCAGATCTGAAAGGTTTCATTGGCAGCTTAGGCAGTTTATTCAGCAAATATTTTGGAATAATGGACAGATCAGTTGGTAATTTAGCAGCACCCAAGCTGTTGGAATCAGGGCCATTTGACGTCACAAGTCACTAGGCTACTCCCGAGAAACTAAGGTATTTTATTTTAAGTCACAGAAGTGGAGTCAAGCGTTCCGAAGAAGCTCACGTAGCCGGAGGCGGCCGGCTGTCAGTGAACGGGGGTGAGGGCCTCGTACAGCCTCTGTGCGGCCAGCTCCACCATTTCCCGCAGGGATTCGTCTTCCTCGCTCCCTTCTTCGCATTCTACAGTCTGAAAGTGAAAGCACAAACAGGCCTTTCACCCTAAGTGTCTACAAGTGTTCTACGGAAGACAGACTGATCCTCTTTAGCGATCCTCATTTCCGGGAGGGGCGGGGGTCACCCAAACCTGGCATCTGGGGCCCCAAGCTGTGGCCCTCAGGCCTGCAGGCGAGGGCCCGACCTGCGGAGCGCGACTGCACAATCACTGGGTCTAATTAGAGGTTAATTTTGGAAAAAGGAATAAATGGAAAATCTAGTGAACTAGATTTAATTCAAAGCCCATATTCTGACCCAGTAAGTTTCATTACCAGGAACTCAGTCTTTGTAATACCAATTACTTAGCAAGCTCAAAATTTGTATTAAATCTGATTTAGACTAATAATCTTCTAGTAATTTCTCAGCTACAAAACACTATATGTGGTTTTAAAATTTTATCATACTATAAATATTGCTCATATTACAACTTAGTAAGGAAAGAAAAAAGTAACACCCTTAATTCTATAACCTAATGATAACTCCTGTGAACATTTCAGTGTATAACCTTCCAGGCTTTGAGCTACACATATGTATTTCTTTAAAACCAAAATGGGGTAATTTGTCATACTTGCGATCTTGTTAACTTTTCTTGCCCCTCACTGATGCGGGGGGACAACTGTGCCCATCAGTGATCCCCATCGCCCTCCTGCGGATGGCTGCCTGTTACAGACCTCCGTGTCCGGGGGTGCACCACACACACAATCTATTGTTAGTTTCCTACTCATGCATATTTCAGTCTCTTGCAGTTCTGCTGATGTTACAATCAATGCTAGAAGAGAAATCCTTGTATATATCTTTGCTCGAATTATTTTATTATTAACTTGTCCAATTATTTTCTTTGATTAGATGCAGTAAGGGGAATTGTGGATAAAGGTATTTACTTTTCTGAGCTTTTCTAAGCATTTCACCAACTACACTGTGGAAAGAACGTGCCAGCTCATTTACAACCCCCTCCCGGCCCCAAACTGACCCTGATAATAAACTGTGGCCCGGTTTTCCCCGGCGCCGGGTCCAGCACTCTTGTTCATCTGTGCCCAAGTGTTAAGTAAACAGTGAGGTTTTGTACTTTCAATCCATATTTCCTCTAATTACTAGTGGATCGGAGCTGAACATCTGATTCATGTGCTTGCTGGCTGTCCAGACTTCTTCTCTAGTGAACCACTTGGTTATATTCTTAGCTTATTTTTCTAGTGGGGTAAAATAAACTAGTGTCTCCTCAAAGCATCTATATAGTCAAAGAACATAAATTTAAAACCTATGTTGTTTGTTTAGTAGAACTGTTCTAATCTTCAAAAACAAGACTGTAAGATATACTTATTCACTTATGCTTATGAAATAATTATGCAGGATCTGTAGCGTAAGACCAGAGCAGGCCCCAAGATCTTGAATCCCATTGTTTGGAAAAGCCACTTGGATCTTGCTGGTAAAACCAGAGAACAGCTTCTCTGAAAAAATCTGGAATCAACTGGATGCCAAATAAGAGAAATGGACTCAGGCCTCTCGTGCAAAAGTAAATGACGGGGAATATACACCCAAGAACCGTGTGCTGTGCAGCA